ACATGGCTCATGGGTACCATACATGGCTCATAGGTACCCATACATGGCTCATCGGTACCCTACATGGCCCATGGGTACCCATACATGGCTCATGGGTACCCATTAATGCTCATGGGTACCCATACATGGCTCATGGGTACCCATACATGGCTCATGGGTACCCATACATGGCTCATGGGTACCATACATGGATCATGGGTACCCATAGGTGGCTCATGGGTACCCATACGTGGCTCATGGGTACCCATAAATGGCTCATGGGTACCCATACATGGCTCATGGGTACCCATACATGGCTCATGGGTACCCAGACATGGCTCATGGGTACCCGTACATGGCTCATGGGTACCCATACATGGCTCATGGGTACCCATACATGGCTCATGGGTACCCATACATGGCTCATGGGTACCTTACATGGCTCATGGGTACCATACATGGCTCATGGTAACCATACATGGCTCATGGGTACCCATACATGGCTCATGGGTACCATACATGGATCATGGGTACCCATACATGGCTCATGGGTACCCATACATGGCTCATAGGTACCATACATGGCTCATGGGTACCCATACACGGCTCATGGGTACCCATACATGGCTCATGGGTACCCATACATGGCTCATGGGTACCCGTACATGGCTCATGGGTACCATACATGGCCAATGGGTACCCATACACGGCTCATGGGTACCCATACATGGCTCATGGGTACCCATACATGGCTCATGGGTACCCGTACATGGCTCATGGGTACCCGTACATGGCTCATGGGTACCATACATGGCCAATGGGTACCCATACATGGCTCATGGGTACTTATACATGGCTCATGGGTTCATACATGACTCATGGGTACCCATACATGGCTCATGGTTACCATACATGGCTCATGGGTACACATACATGGCTCATGGGTACCCATACATGGCTCATGAGTACCATACATGGCTCATGGGTACCATACATGGCTCATGGGTACCATACATGGCTCATGGGTAGCATACATGGCTCATGGGTACCCATACATGGCTCATGGGTACAATAAATGGCTCATGGTTACCATACATGGCTCATGGGTACCCATACATGGCTTATGGGTACTCGTACATGGCTCATGGGTACCATGCATGGCCCATGGGTACCCATACATGGCTCATGGGTACTCAGACATGTCTCATGGGTACCATACATGGCTCATGGGTACCCATAAATGGCTCATGGGTACCATACATGGCTCATGGGTACCATACATGGCTCATGGGTACCATACATGGCTCATGGGTACCATACATGGCTCATGGGTACCCATACATGGATCATGGGTACCCATAGGTGGCTCATGGGTACCCATACATGGCTCATGGGTACCATACATGGCTCATGGGTACCCATACGTGGCTCATGGGTACCCATACATGGCTCATGGGTTCTAGTACATGGCTCATGGGTACCATGGATGGCCCATGGGTACCCATACATGGCTCATGGGTACTCATACATGCCTCATGGGTACCATACATGGCTCATGGGTAGCATACATGGCTCATGGGTACCCATACATGGCTCATGGGTACCATACATGGATCATGGGTACCCATACATGGCTCATGGGTACCCATACATGGCTCATGGGTACCCATACATGGCTCATGGGTACCATACATGGCTCATGGGTACCCATACATGGATCATGGGTACCCATAGGTGGCTCATGGGTACCCATACATGGCTCATGGGTACCATACATGGCTCATGGGTACCCATACGTGGCTCATGGGTACCCATACATGGCTCATGGGTTCTAGTACATGGCTCATGGGTACCATGGATGGCCCATGGGTACCCATACATGGCTCATGGGTACTCATACATGCCTCATGGGTACCATACATGGCTCATGGGTACCATACATGGCTCATGGGTACCCATACATGGCTCATAAGTACCATACATGGATCATGGGTACCCATACATGGCTCATGGGTACCCATACATGGCTCATGGGTACCCATACATGGCTCATGGGTACCATACATGGCTCATGGGTACCATGCATGGCCCATGGGTACCCATACATGGCTCATGGGTGCTCATACATGGCTCATGGGTACCATTTATGGCTCATGGGTACCATACATGGCTCATGGGTACCCATACATGGCTCATGGTTACCATACATGGCTCATGGGTACCCATACATGCTCATGGGTACCCATACATGGCTCATGGGTACCATACATGGCTCATGGGTACCATACATGGATCGTGGGTACCATACATGGCTTATGGGTACCCATACATGGCTCATGGGTACCCATACGTGGCTCATGGGTACCCATAAATGGCTCATGGGTACCATACATGGCTCATGGGTACCATACATGGCTCATGGGTACCATACATGGCTCATGGGTACCCATACATGGCTCGTGGGTACCCATACATGGCCCACAGGTACCCATACATGGCTCATGGGTACCCATACATGGCTCATGGGTACCCATACATGGCTCATGGGTACCGTACATGGATCATGGCTACGCATACGTGGCTCATGGGTACCCATACGTGGCACATGGGTACCCATATATGGCTCATGGGTACCATACATGACTCATGGGTACCCATACATGCTCATGGGTACCCATACATGGCTCATGGGTACCATACATGGCTCATGGGTACCATACATGGCTCATGGGTACCATACATGGCTCATGGGGACCATACATGGCTCATGGGTACTACATGGCTCATAGGTACCCATACATGGCTCATGGGTACCCATACATGGCTCATGGGTACCCATACATGGCTCATGCGTACCCATACATGGCTCATGGGTACCCATACATGGCTCATGGGTACCATACATGGATCATGGGTATCATACATGGCTCATGGGTACCCATACATGGCTCATGGGTACTCATACATTGCTCATCGGGACCAGACATGGCTCATGGTTACCATACATGGCTCATGGGTACCCATACATGCTCATGGGTACCCATACAAGGCTCATGGGTACCCATACATGGCTCATGGGTACCCATACATGGCTCATGGTGTACCATACATGGCTCATGGGTACCCATTTATGGCTCATGGGTATCATACATGGCTCATGGGTACCCATACATGGCTCATGGGTACCCATACATGGCTCATGGGTACCATACATGGCTCATGGGTACCCATACATGCTCATGGGTACCCATACATGGCTCATGGGTACCATACATGGCTCATGTGTACCCATACATGGCTCATGGGTACCCATACATGGCTCATGGGTACCCATACATGGCCCACGGGTATCCATACATGGCTCATGGGTACCCAAACATGCTCATGGGTACCCATACATGGCTCATGGGTACCATACATGGCTCATGGGTACCATACATGGATCGTGGGTACCATACATGGCTCATGGGTACCCATACATGGCTCATGGGTACCCATACGTGGCTCATGGGTACCCATAAATGGCTCATGGGTACCATACATGGCTCATGGGTACCATACATGGCTCATGGGTACCATACATGGCTCATGGGTACCCATACATGGCTCGTGGGTACCCATACATGGCCCACGGGTACCCATACATGGCTCATGGGTACCCATACATGGCTCATGGGTACCGTACATGGATCATGGCTACGCATACGTGGCTCATGGGTACCCATACGTGGCACATGGGTACCCATATATGGCTCATGGGTACCATACATGACTCATGGGTACCCATACATGGCTTGGGGGGAGAGACAGAACACAAACGGATACTGGATACTGCCCAGGGGCAGGTGAAAATTATTATGAGACCCTGTTGGGGGGGGAGACAGAACACAAAAGGATACTAGGTGGAAATTATTATGTGACCCTGTTGGGGGGGGAGACAGAACACAAAAGGATACTGGATACTGCCCAGGGGCAGGCGAAAATTATTATGTGACCCTGTTGGGGGGTGGGGAGACAGAACACAAAAGGATAGGCAGGAGGAAATTAATATGTGACCCTGTTGGTGGGGGGGGGAGAACACAGAGCAAACTGCATTGAGGAGGAAGGGAGAGTTTTGAGAGTGAGTTTCGAGACGTCTCTCGAAACTCACAAGAGAGAACAGAACTGCCACCGGCAGTTCACAACTGGATTTGAGGCGCCTCAAACCAGCAAACGAGGTCCTTGTAACCTGTGTTCCCTGCAACCTGCTTCACCCCCTGTTCTGCTTCGCTGCAACCTGTGTTCCCTGCAACCTGCTTCACCCCCTGTTCTGCTTCGCTGCAACCTGTGTTCCCTGCAACCTGCTTCACCCCCTGTTCTGCTTCGCTGCAACCTGTGTTCCCTGCAATCTGCTTCACCTCCTGTTCTGCTTCGCTGCAACCTGTGTTCCCTGCAACCTGCTTCATCCCCTGTTCTGCTTCGCTGCAACCTGTGTTCCCTGCAACCTGCTTCACCCCCTGTTCTGCTTCGCTGCAACCTGTGTTCCCTGCAACCTGCTTCACCCCCTGTTTTGCTTCGCTGCAACCTGTGTTCCCTGCAACCTGCTTCACCCCCTGTTCTGCTTCGCTGCAACCTGTGTTCCCTGCAATCTGCTTCACCAGCAAACGAAGTCCTCTGGAGTAGCACACGGGGAGGGTGGCCAGTCGTCTTCACTGCTTCTCTTCTGCTGACCGCTGGTGCCACTGCTTGTATTCCCTTCTGCTGCCACTGCGGGCCTCTCTTCTGCTCCCACTGCTGCTGCCACCGCTGCTGCCACTGCTGGCCTTCTCTTGTGCTCGCCGTCCCATCACTTCACAGCACCACCAGCAGCACACGGGAGGGAGGTAGGAGCGAGGTAGGTAGCAGCTTCATCCCCTTCACAGCAGCTTCATCCCCTTCACAGCTGCTTCATCCCCTTCACAGCTGCTTCATCCCCTTCACAGCTGCTTCATCCCCTTCACAGCTGCTTCATCCCCTTCACAACAGCTTCATCCCCTTCACAGATGCTTCATCCCCTTCACAGCTGCTTCATCCCCTTCACAGCTGCTTCATCCCCTTCACAGATGCTTCGTCCCCTTCACAGCTGCTTCGTCCCCTTCACAGCTGCTTCGTCCCCTTCAAAGCTGCTTCATCCCCTTCACAGCTGCTTCGTCCCCTTCACAGCTGCTTCGTCCCCTTCACAGCTGCTTCGTCCCCTTCACAGCTGCTTCGTCCCCTTCACAGCTGCTTCGTCCCCTTCACAGCTGCTTCGTCCCCTTCACAGCTGCTTCGTCCCCTTCACAGCTGCTTCGTCCCCTTCACAGCTGCTTCGTCCCCTTCACAGCTGCTTCGTCCCCTTCACAGCTGCTTCGTCCCCTTCACAGCTCCTTGGCAGCAAAAGGTAGCTAAAGGTAGGCACAGCTCGCTGACATCGCTGATGGCAGTCCAGCCCGCTTGTAGCAGCCGTCTCCTCTGCCTGCCTGTAGCAGCCGTCCTCTGCCCGCCTGTAGCAGCCGTCCTCTGCCCGCCTTTAGCAGCCGTCCTCTGCCCGCCTTTAGCAGCCGTCCTCTGCCCGCCTTTAGCAGCCGTCCTCTGCCCGCCTTTAGCAGCCGTCTCCTCTGCCTGCCTGTAGCAGCCGTCCTCTGCCCGCCTTTAGCAGCCGTCCTCTGCCCGCCTTTAGCAGCCGTCCTCTGCCCGCCTTTAGCAGCCGTCCTCTGCCCGCCTTTAGCAGCCGTCCTCTGCCCGCCTTTAGCAGCCGTCCTCTGCCCGCCTTTAGCAGCCGTCCTCTGCCCGCCTTTAGCAGCCGCCTTCAACAGCCGTCCTCTGCCCGCCTTAAGCTTCCGTCCCATCACTTCACAGCACCAGCAGCCGCCTTTAGCAGCCGTCTCCTCCGCATCTCCTCTGCTGATCCGTTTCGTCTGCTGCTCCCTCGCCTCTGCTGAAATGGGAGGCGAATGACTCAGCGACAATGAGTGCAGTGCAAGGCAACGATTGCATCCAGTGACATGAAGGAACTCAGAGCAAATGCAAAACCAAGGTAACGACATTCGAACAAACAAAACAACTAAAGCGAAAAAGGAAATTTACCATCGGCAGTGAATAGTGCTCGTTTGCTCTTTGCTCTTCAGTGCAGCACCACTCCCCCTCCACTGCAGCACCACTCCCCGTACGCTGCAGCACCACTCCCCCTCCACTGCTGCTGCCACTGCTGGTGTCACTGCTGGCCTTCTCTTTCTGCTGGCACTGTTGCTGCCACCGGTAGTGTCGCCGCATGCCTCTCCCCTACTCCCACCGCTGGTGTCACTGCGGGTGCCACCTCCAATGCAGCAGCAGCAGCACCACCTCCCAACGCAGCAGCAGCACCACTCTCCCTTCAGCAGCAGCGCCACTACACCACTGCTCCTTTGCCCTTCTCCCCTCCATGCCTTCTCCCCTCCATGCCTTCTCCCCTCCATGCCTTCTCCCCTCCATGCCTTCTCCCCTCCATGCCTTCTTCCCTCCATGCCTTCTTCCCTCCATGCCTTCTTCCCTCCATGCCTTCTTCCCTCCGTGCCTTCTTCCCTCCATGCCTTCTTCCCTCCATGCCTTCTTCCCTCCGTGCCTTCTTCCCTCCATGCCTTCTTCCCTCCATGCCTTCTTCCCTCCGTGCCTTCTTCCCTCCATGCCTTCTTCCCTCCATGCCTTCTTCCCTCCATGCCTTCTTCCCTCCGTGCCTTCTTCCCTCCGTGCCTTCTTCCCTCCGTGCCTTCTTCCCTCCATGCCTTCTTCCCTCCATGCCTTCTTCCCTCCATGCCTTCTTCCCTCCATGCCTTCTTCCCTCCGTGCCTTCTTCCCTCCGTGCCTTCTTCCCTCCGTGCCTTCTTCCCTCCGTGCCTTCTTCCCTCCATGCCTTCTTCCCTCCATGCCTTCTCCCCTCCATGCCTTCTTCCCTCCATGCCTTCTTCCCTCCGTGCCCTCTGCTCCATGTCTCTCCAATGCTGCATCTTTGTTCCTCTTCTCCACCTCCTTTGCCTCTCTTTCCTCTCCTCCATTGCTTCTCGCCTCCTCTCCTCCTCGCCTCCTCGCCTCCTCGCCTCCTCGCCTCCGTCTCCTCCGATGCATCTCCTGCGGAATGGGAAGGAAGGGAAGGAAGGACCAAGAAATCGAAGGCAGGAAAGAAGATGACCGGCAATTCTCACAGTGGCATTCATACAAGCAATGCAACGTTACCCAAGAGAATTGCACAGATTGGGCAACAAAAGTGCAGAACAACAAAAGTACAGAGGGGCTCACCATTAGTTTCCATTCACCACCACGCTCTGCTGCTCCTATCCTCCTCTGCGCTGCTGCTCCACGCCTCCTCTCCTCCACGCCCCTCCATGCCTTCTTCCCTCCATGCCTTCTTCCCTCCATGCCTTCTTCCCTCCATGCCTTCTTCCCTCCATGCCTTCTTCCCTCCATGCCTTCTTCCCTCCATGCCTTCTTCCCTCCATGCCTTCTTCCCTCCATGCCTTCTTCCCTCCATGCCTTCTTCCCTCCATGCCTTCTTCCCTCCATGCCTTCTTCCCTCCATGCCTTCTTCCCTCCATGCCTTCTTCCCTCCATGCCTTCTTCCCTCCATGCCTTCTTCCCTCCATGCCTTCTTCCCTCCATGCCTTCTTCCCTCCATGCCTTCTTCCCTCCATGCCTTCTTCCCTCCATGCCTTCTTCCCTCCATGCCTTCTTCCCTCCATGCCTTCTTCCCTCCATGCCTTCTTCCCTCCATGCCTTCTTCCCTCCATGCCTTCTTCCCTCCATGCCTTCTTCCCTCCATGCCTTCTTCCCTCCATGCCTTCTTCCCTCCATGCCTTCTTCCCTCCATGCCTTCTTCCCTCCATGCCTTCTTCCCTCCATGCCTCTCCAATGCTGCATCTTTGTTCCTCTTCTCCACCTCCTTCCTCTCCTCTGCTGGTTCGCCTCCCCTTCTGCTGCAACTGCTGCTGCAATCAGTAATGTCACTGCGGGCCTCCTCGCCTCCTCTCCTCCTCGCCTCCTCTGGAGGCTGGAGGCGTCGTGAAGTCCCGCGGCTGTCTGAAACGGGAAGCAACAACGACATTAGTACGTGTTAAAAACAGAAAGCAGAAACTTGGAGAGCACTTACCGAGGGGGCTGGAGGCGTCGTGAAGTCCCGCGGCTGTCTGAAACGGGAAGCAACAACGACATTAGTACATGTGGAAAACAGAAAGCAGAAACTTGGAGAGCACTTACCGAGGGGGCTGGAGGCGTCGTGAAGTCCTGCGGCTGTCTGAAACGGGAAGCAACAACGACATTAGTACGTGTGGAAAACAGAAAGCAGAGACTTGGAGAGCACTTACCGAAGGGGCTGGAGGCGTCGTGAAGTCCCGCGGCTGTCTGAAACGGGAAGCAACAACGACATTAGTACATGTGGAAAACAGAAAGCAGAAACTTGGAGAGCACTTACCGAGGGGGCTGGAGGCGTTGTTGATGTCTTCGTGACGGCTAAGACAAGAAGACACACACAAAACAACATTAGGCATGCGACGACACAAGAAAGCAAAGAAGAATGCAGCTTACAACGGGTCCTAGCTGCTGCGTCCCCGTGTTGCTCTGGCCTTGGTGTTGCCTCACCCGTTCTTGCTGTACCTAGAAGAGGGGCGGCACAAATTTAATCCTTTGCTGTTGCGTCCCCGTGTTGCTCCCGCCTTGGTGTTGCCCCTTGATGCTTGCTGTACCTAGAAGAGGGGCGGCACAGAAATTATATTTTGAAGGCGCCTCACTTGAAGGCGCCGCTCCACCTCCCGCTGCTCCTCTTGTGTTGATCCTTTGCCCCCCAGGGGGTCAAAGCGCCTCACTTGAAGGCGCCGCTCCACCTCTCGCTGCTCCTCTTGTGTTGATCCTTTGCCCCCCAGAGGGCCAAAGCGCCTCACTTGAAGGCGCCGCTCCACCTCTCGCTGCTCCTCTTGTGTTGATCCTTTGCCCCCCAGGGGGTCAAAGCGCCTCACTTGAAGGCGCCGCTCCACCTCTCGCTGCTCCTCGTGTGTTGATCCTTTGCCCCCCAGGGGGTCAAAGCGCCTCACTTGAAGGCGCCGCTCCACCTCTCGCTGCTCCTTGTGTGTTGATCCTTTGCCCCCCAGGGGGTCAAAGCGCCTCACTAGAAGCTCCACCTCCTCAAATCCACTGCTGCCCGCCCTTGCTGCCGCGGTCTTCTGCCCAGTCTTGCTTCAGGACCAGCTGTGCAATTTTGCTCACTGCAACGCTTGCAGTGAGGAACATGCAAAAGAGTTTTGAGGCATCTCCCAAAAACCTGCTTTTGATCACTTCAGCTAAGCTGCAGTGAGAAGGAAGAGAGAGAGGGGGAGTGAGTTTCGAGATGTCTCTCAAAACTCACAAGAGAAGAGAAGAGAGGAGGAACGGAACACTGCAGTGCACTGCAGGACACAACAAAACTGGATTTGAGGCGCCTCAAACCAGCAAACGAGGTCCTCACACCTCACATTCACTCTGACTCACTCTCACTCTGACCCTCACTCTCACTCTCACCCTCGCTCTCCCCTCACTCTCCTCTCACCCTCGCCCTCTTCTCACTCTCCTCTCACTCTCGCTCTCCTCACGTCCTCTCTATGCTCCTCCCAGCAGGTCCCAGCCGTCTCCTTCCGCTGCTGCTGCTGCTGCTACTGCTGCTCCCCGCTGCTGCTGCTGCCACCGCTGCTGCTGCTGCCACCGCTGCTGCTGCTGCCACCACTGCTGCTGCTGCCACCGCTGGTGTCACTGCGGGCATCTCTTCTGCTCCCACCGCTGCTGCCACCGCTGGTGTCACTGCTGGTCTTCTCTTCTGCTGCCAGCCACTGCTGCTGTCAGCTGTAGTGTCATTGCGGACCTCTCTCCTTCTCCCACCGCTGCTGCCACCGCTTTTCTTCTTCTCATGCCAGTCCAGCTGTCTCCTCTTAGCATGCCAGTCCAGCTGTCTCCTCTGCTCATGCCAGTCCAGCTGTCTCCTCTGCTCCCCCGCTGCAGCTGACTGCGTTGACCAGCTTTCACTCCTCCCAAACCCAGCAGCGGCGCCAGGAAAGCGTAGAGGAGATGGGAGGATTCAGCAGGAACTTTCATCTCGTCTCGCCTCTTGTTATAAGACGACGCTGCCGCTGCCACTGGCGCTGCTGCCTTTGCCATCGCTGCTGCGACTGAAGCTGTTGCATTTGCCGCTGCTGCTGCCACTGCTGCTGCCACTGCCTCACTCCTCCTGCTCTCGCTGCTACCGCTGCCCATGCTGCTCCATCTGCCAAGCCGCAACGTTCCCTGCACAGCGAAGAGAGAGTTGCAATCCCACAGAGATGGTTAGTTGCAGCGTAGAGGTTACAAATTGGCAGAGAGATTTGACAGAGATGTATACCAGTTGACAGAGAGAATTGACAGAGGGAACAATAACGAATGCAGAGAATGCAAGTTGCAATCCCACAAAGAAGGCCAATTAGAGTAGAGTTTACAAGTCGACAAGTAAATTGATAGCGAACACAATGAAGAAAAAACGCTGGTGTTTTGTCGTCATGACTCCTGTTGCTCACATGTTTCTCCAGTCGCTGCTGCAGCTGCAGGTGCTGCTCCTGTCGCTGCTGCTCCATCTTCCCACCCATGCGTTAACGTTCCCTGCACAGCGACCAGAGAGTTGCAATCCCACAAGTAGAGTTCATGAGTACAGCGTGAATTGACAGAGAGAAGGATAACGAATGCAAGGAGGAAAAACGAGAGTGGAAAAACGACAAAGAACACGCAAGCCATAAAGACAAAGAAAGGACGTGTTCTGTTACTTACTTGTTTCTCCAGTTGAGGTTTCTCCAGTTGCTCCTGCACCAGTTGCCTCCAACACAGCAGCACTATCCCACCTCGCCACCCGCGGCCTCAGCTGCCCCAGCCACCCCTTCCCTTGTCACCCCTGCACAAGGCACAGAGAGTTGCAACCCCTACTATAGAGAAGGTCAGCTGGGTAGAGAGTACAGGCACAACTGCGGAATGATCAAGAGAAACAACATGCCAAGCAAAACGGCCAAGACAACAGGACATGGCAACCTTCAAAAACGAAGTGATGCGAATCAGGAGGAAGGAACGAGGGTGTTCTGTCACGGCTCAACTTACTTGCTACTCCAGTCGCTGCCGCTCCTGTTGCTGCTGATGCTAGTCGCTGCTGCTCCAGTCGCTGCTGCTGATGGACCAACGCCATGACGCCATGGACCAACGCCATGACGCCATGGACCAACGCCATGACGCCATGGACCAACGCTGCTGTTGCTGCTGCTGCTGCTGCTGTTGCTGGGAGGGTGGGCGAGGACTGCCATAGCGCCATGGACTGCCATAGCGCCATGGACTGCCATAGCGCCATGGACTGCCATAGCGCCATGGACTGCCATAGCGCCATGGACTGCCATAGCGCCATGGAATGCCATAGCGCCATGGACTGCCATAGCGCCATGGACTGCCATAGCGCCATGGACTGCCATAGCGCCATGGACTGCCATAGCGCCATGGACTGCCATAGCGCCATGGACCGCCATTGTCCCATGCACTGCCATAGCGCCATGGAATGCCATAGATTAACGCCCTACACAAGGAGCCACAATCGCACAAAAAAGGTTTATCAGTAAGTCAATAGAGCAGATTGACAGAGTGAAGAAGACCGAATGCAAGGAGGAAAACGGACAGCAGAAAAACGACAAAGAAAACGAATGCCTCGAAAACACTGAAGTGAGTGGAGAACGCGAATGAGGAGGGAGATGGGAGGGCGAGGAGAAGAAGGAAAAGCTCCAGTTACATACATGATTCTCAAGTCGCTGCTTCTCCAGTTGCTGCTTTTCCGCTCCAACACAGCAGCACCGCTCCAACACAGCAGCACCGCCTCCAACACAGCACCACCGCCTCCAACACAGCAGCACCGCTCCAACACTGCAGCACTGCCTCCAACACAGCAGCACCGCCTCCAACACAGCAGCACCGCTCCAACACAGCAGCACCGCCTCCAACACAGTAGCACCGCCTCCAACACAGCAGCAGCACTCCCTACTCAGCAGCACCGCCTCCAACACAGCAGCACCTCTCCAACTCAGCAGCACCGCCTCCAACACAGCAGCACCGCCTCCAACACAGCAGCACCGCCTCCAACACAGCAGAACCGCCTCCAACACAGCAGAACCGCCTCCAACACACCAGCACCGCTCCAACACAGCAGCACCGCTCCATCGCAGCAGCACCACTCCATCGCAGCAGCAGCACCCTTTGACGAGGTAGCAGCACCACTCCATCTCCAACGCCACACCAACGCCAGCCAGCCATCCTCTCGCCAGCAGCAAGCTTATATCGCCTCCGCTCCTGCACGGACAGTTTAATGCGTAGCGAGTGAGATACACCATCATTATTGAATGTGCAGAAACCGAAATGTGCAGTTTAAATGGAAGCTAAACACGATCACCAAGAGAATAATAGCAACTGGAGATGTAGAAATTGAATGATACGAGCAAAAAAAACGTCGTGAAACGTTTACCCTACCGATCACGCGTTTAGCTGTGAAAACTCACCGCAACCGTCTGGCGGCGAGCCTCCGTAGGAACGTCGCGATTTCGTACGGATGTCGCGAGCTTCGTACGGATGACGCGAGCTTCGTACGGACGTCGCGAGCTGCTCCTCCGTCATCGAATCCGCGCTGCTCCCGCCGTGACGCATCCGCGCAGTCGATGAGATGCTTTGCGCTGCTTCCCATTTCAAGCAATCATGCTCAGTTGTTCTCCGCAATGCTCCGCGCTCCTTCGTCAGCGTCATGTCTTCGTCTGCGTCAAATGTCTCCGTCAGCGTCGGATGTTTCCGTCAACGTCGGATGCCTTCGTCAGCGTCGGATGTCTCCGTCATCGTCATGTCTTCGTCAGCGTCGTCCGTCTCCGTCAGCGTCATGTATTCGTCAGCGTCGTCCGTGTTCGTCAGCGCCATGTCTTCGTCAGCGTCGGATGTCTCCGTCAGCGTCGTATGTCTCCGTCAGCGTCGTCCGTCTCCGTCAGCGTCATGTATTCGTCAGCGTCGTCCGTCTCCGTCAGCGTCATGTCTTCGTCAGCGTCGTCCGTCTCCGTCAGCGTCGGATGTCTCGTCAGCGTCGCAAGCGTCGTCGGCAGTACGTTGCCCGTCAGCACTCCTTAGTCAGCGTCGTTAGCATAGCGTAGGATTAGAGGCCTTGTAGTATGCGGTCGACTGAAAATTCGAACGCGACGAAGAGAGTTGACGGCTTTGCAGCGACAACCTTCTCGTGAGCGGCTGAGCGTCGGATTGGGAGACACGGGAGTGACGCAAGCTGAAGCGTCGCACAGATAACAGCGTTGGCTTGAACGCGACTCCTTCTCGTCTGAAGTAGCGACGTCACGAGCGGAGGCGATGGCTGGAACGTCGCACGTATGTAGCGAAAAATTGTAACGATATAGATGTCTGAAACTTCAAGATAAATCGTCGTAGAAAACGTCACGAGATGATGACTTAAACGTCACGAAAAATCGTCATAGAAAGGCTTCGTAGTGAACTTCAGGAACATGGTCGCGTCCAGCAAGATATATCTTATACCAGCACTGATGAGTATATTTATGACTATGCTCTAAGATCCTTCCAGGCTCTAAGTTTCACGCTACCATCCTCCTACCATGAAATTATAGATCATGAAATAGCGCTGATGAAACTGGCAATTATTGCTAGGCTCTAAGATTCTGCTACAATCCTCCCAGGAAATCTTAAGCTTAACGCGATTCGGGAAGAGACTACGTCGCGGAATTTACCTCCACGGTGCAGCTAACCTAGGAAGCCATGGTTTCGGATCCATGGAGTCTGCTAACGCAAGGAGATTCCTCTCTGAAACAACCCCTGCAGAGAGAATGGCTTAGGGGGATTCAGAGGAGGTAGACCAAGAAAGGAAAATTGGGACAAGGAGGAGAAACAATGTTCGGTACGGTGCGGACGGTTTCCGATAGGTTAGAGAAGTTCATGAAGGGTGGTACGGGTTTCGGAAAGGTGAGAAAGGTTGAGTCCAGGTGAGGTGGGATGAGGATGTGTGTGGTGAGAGAAAGGCGAAGGGGGAGGAGCGGAACGGCAAGGGGCGGGAAGTCGAGTCGCCAACCCTCCACCCAAGCCGAAGGGGGAGGGTTCACCCCGTCTCGGCAAGCTCGAGGCGCAAGCCGCTGCAAAGTTCGCTGACGAGTTGCGCTGAATGGCTGGAATCCGCGGGGAAGTCCGCCGACGGTCAGTGCCGAAGGCGGGGAACGGTGGAAAGTGGTGTGAGTCAGGGGGGAGGCCTAGAGGTTTGGCGAGGAGACAGCCATTTCGCGGGCAAAAGCCGTAGTATGCGAAACTGTGCATAAGGCATATATGTTACCCAGTCATGTCGGATGATCTGACGGCTGAGCACAGAGTGGGTGATTCGGCTTTGGCATGATGTGGATGTCATGGGTGGCCCGCCCGAGCCGCCATAACCAAGTGTCATTCACGAGGTGAAGGATTCGTGTCAGACCTCGAATTCAAATTTGATTCGGTTGCCAAAAGTCAATGGTTTGGGCGGGATGCAGCTCTCGTCCCCGTTTTCAGTATCTTTCGACAAAATAATAACGAGCACAATGTAATGCGTAAACAGTTGATGAAGAAACCTACTTCACTGTCCACTTATGAACAAACTGCCAATACAGCTGAGCTTGCTGAAAAATGAACAAGATATATCAAGCCTACATTGGGTAGAACTAATGCTTTTACTGAGGGTTCTCAATTGGGGGCTTGATTCACAATCCTCCCTAGGTAATTGGCTTTAATGATCATTATTATTATTATTCAAAATCCCCCATCACTGGAGATCTAGTAAAATGTCAGGCACCATAATTCTATTCACTCCATGCACCACCATGTGTGCATCCGTGTAGAGGTCTGGTAGCACCACTCGTACACTCCCTTGAGCTCCCAACACTGGCTTGCCCAGCACAATACCCTCCCCTTCTACCTTCTCCATCTCCATCTCCTCAAACCCTGTTGTGAACTGCTTGGGCACCAAAGGGGGTGGAAAGGAGGGAGAAAAAGGAGGTTCAGAGAGGGAGAGAGGGAGGAGCTTGGGGAGGGGAGATGGAAAGAGAGGGAGTGGCTGGAGGACGGAGGGCTGGGGAGCACAAATCACCAGCATATGTATACCTGCGGCACCTTCTGCCCTCTCAGCGGAAGAGTGGGGCCTAAATCCAAAATAATTCAGGAATGGCGCTGGTGCAGTGCAATGCGAGCCTCGGAGCACCAACGAGCGGAACACCACTAACACCCATCTCATTCACATCTCTAGGGTTCCCAAAACCACAACACCCAAACAGCACAGCGTGCCTCGGAGCACGCACTGCATGCCAAAACTAAAACAGCCGGAGGAAGCACCAATGATCCTTCACGCACCAGTGATCCTGCCGGTAGTTCTGCCAGCTGAGCGGCAGAGAGCTTCCGGCCGAGAGTGTGGAAGGCGAGCACGCGGTGCATGACGCTGGCGCGGCGCGTGAGGTAGCGGCGCGTGACGGCCGGCAGGGAGGTGAACGCGCCGTTGATGGGCGCGAGAAGCGTTACGCGCATCCGCGATAGGAGAAACGAAAGCGTGGAGTTGAATTCTGAGCAGGGGAGGAGAGACGACGGAAACCGGAAGGAAAGCGCGGGTGGGTGGGGAGAGGGGGGAGGAAAAGAGGCGGGGGACGAGGAGAGTGGGCGCTTTTAGCGTGGGAAATAATAAGCATTTCTCAGGGATGAATGTTTCATTTTCCCTCGCTCGCCAGCAATAGGTTTGCCAGGAGAACGATCCCTAGGCCCGCAGATTTGTGATTGCAGCATTACGGAGAAGCAGCGTCGCCTCGTTACTACGCCTGAACTAGGATCGACCGTTGATGAGTCCAAAGCTCACGAGATCGTTCCATGTTGTCGACCAGCAGCGTGGGCCCTGTGATAAAAAGTTGGGTTTTGAGACGTCTCATGTGGCTATTCCAACTTTTATCACGTGGCTATTCCCAGCTTACGAGATCGTTCCATGTTGTCGCCCAGCAGTGTGAGCCCTTTCTCTCGCATTCTCGCTGCCATCGCCGCGTAAGCCGCTTCCCCGTCGTACTCTTGTAAGGAGTCCGCATTGACGTCCGTTGCGTCGGCGTGGATCCCTGTAACGAGGATAGCCTGTGCCATTATAAGAGCGACAACTAGGGCGCGTAATCTGTACACTCGCGAAGTATCCATTTTGTGTGCGGAGAGTTACTCAGACTGAAGCTGGAGGGTGGTAGACCGATCTATCGAAAAAAAAAAAAAAAAAAAAAAAAAAAAAAAAGTCTGCTACGGTAATATATTAGAAGGAAGGAGCAGACTTGCGCCGATATCAATACAGTGACGGAGCACGCGATGGAAATGCAGTCGAGCGCCTGAATTGAAAATAAAGCCAATGCAGCTAATCTCGCGCAGACGACGGCGAACTTGCAGATTAGTTGGTGTCACAAGCAGTGCCCCACTGGTTAGAATTCGCGAATGCTGGTAGGGTTGGATGGAACTGAAGAATTCTTCTAGCGAATTACCTCGCCTGCGACTCGAGGAGTATGGGAGCCAATGGACTATGTTGACTGGCACACGTGGCTGCTGTTGGGTGGATGAGGTCTGCTGATGTGCAGCAGTGGCACAAAAAGGCTATTTTGCCAGCTCTCAACAAAGTTTCGAATTTTAGTTGGTCCCACTGCCATTCGTCGGCTAATCCGAATCCAGTCTGGGGACGAATTGGCTGGGGATGGATTCATTGAGCTGCAAAACTGGTGGAATGGAATAACAGAGTGTTTCAGCTAAACGCGACAGAATCCACACTTCCCTGAAGACCTCTCCAACCAAGATGGCCTGGGCGAGGTCACGTTGGTTTGAGATCGAGAACCTTGCTGTACGCGTTACCAGGAATGTTAGTGCATCTACGATTGTGTTTCTTATTGTTGGGCCTGTCTTTTTTAATGCTATCAGAAGCAATCGCTGTATCGAAGTTGCCATTTCCCAGAGTTCTCGTGCCCTGCAAACTTTCGCTTCTGTCCCGCTTCATCGTCAGGCACACGCAATCAAGGCGGGCTCAGGAGTACCATCAGCAACACCATAGCCACTCACCGTCCGATCGTCCCTGACACCTGAAAGTAGATTCATTTACCGTCCGATCACCCGAAGACACCTCCCAGATCTCACAGACCTGCTCCATCATTCAGCCCAATTCCATCCCATGCACCGTTCTTCCATCAACCGTGTAACCCCATGGTCAACTCAACACACCATCAACATCACCATCGGATGCACCATCTTCGTGTAACGAAGCTCCTAGAAGCATAATCAACACGCGCACCACTCCAGGTTTCTCGAGTTTCCAGAATTCTGGTGAATCTGTTGTGTCTAATTGCTCCCGCCACCCTCGCTCGTTCACGAGTTCTGGTGCCCGTTGTTGGGTGTTGGAAAGGTTCAGTCATTTCGCTTTAGGTGTTGTGATCGCTTTGCGCCTCCGCAGACACTGCATTTAGGTCTTCGCTGTAACACTTCTCTGCGGTAGGCTTCATCACCCACAACTCATCCAATCCCAAGTTGGTATACGGAATCAATTCGTAATTGTCGTTCTCATGCCAATCTGACGGCTCTGGATGATGGATCGAGTGACGGGTTTGGATCCAGGCGGTGCCGCGACAACTGTATCTGCTAAGATTGTAAATCCCTCACAGAGACGTTTGGAATCGACTTTGCCTGTCGACAAACTTCAGACTGAATCCGGCGCTGCTCAGTTACCGTCAGATGCTGCACATGGACCGTCCGATGCGGCTCAAGCACAGCCAGATGCTGCTCAAGGACCGTCCGATGTTGCAGAGGGACCGACGGATGCCGCACACGTACCGTCAGATACTGCTCGGGTTTCTTCAGATGATGCTGGACCGTCGGATGTTGCACATCGACCGCCGGATGAGGTAGCCGATGTCTGTCAAACGAAGATCGAGGCATATGAAGTGAAGCAGCAGACCGATTTGACAGAAATGCATCACGACGCGAGTTCGCAACAGCCTGAAGCATCGGAGAAACATGAACAGGATCAGGGTTTTAAAGCTCCTTCGGAGGCCGATGTTTGTCAGATGAAGGTCGAGGCATCTGAAGAAAAGCAGCAGACCGATTTGGCTGAGAAGAATCATCAGGGGAATTTACAGCAGCCTGAAGCATCGGAGAAGCATGATCAAGATCAGGGGTCTAAAGCACCTGAGAAGCCTGAGCAAAACCCTGAAGCTCCTGAAAACCCCGTGCAGGGGTCAAAAACACCTGAGAAGCCTGACCAGGCGTCTAAAGTACCTGAGAAGCGTGATCACGACTTTGAAGCAGCGAACCCGCCTAATCAGCAGCCTGATGCGCCTGTGAAGCCAACTGCACAACTCGAAGCAGCCGAACCTACAGCCGTGGCCGATACGCCTGCTCAGCATCCTGATGCAGCTGAAATGTCTAATCAACGGTCGGATTTGATCGACAAGCCTACTGCCGAGAAGCCCACGGAGAAACCTGTCACGCGTCCTGATGCAGCTGGAAATTATTCGCAGCAGACGGAAGCTGATGTTGAACCCGCTCAGCATGTGGATGCAGCTGAGCAGACTGCTGAGCATGCCGAGAAGCCCACTGAGCAGACTGCAGCACCCAATGCGTCCTCTCAGTCTCCTGATGCAGCTGGAAATCATTCGCAGGAGACGGAAGCTGATGTTGAACCCTCTCAGCATGTGGATGCAGCTGAGCAGACTGCTGAGCATGCCGAGAAGCCCACTGAGCAGACTGCAGCACCCAATGCGTCCTCTCAGTCTCCTGATGCAGCTGGAAATCATTCGCAGGAGACGGAATCTGATGTTGAACCCTCTCAGCATGTGAATGCTGAGCAGACTGCTGAGGAGGCCGACGAGCCTACTGAACAGACTGAAGCACCCAATGCGTCCTCTCAGTCTCCTGATGCAACTGCCAAACACACTCAGCAGATGGAAGTCGTCGGTGAACCCACTCAGCATGTGGATGCTGAGCAGAGTACTGAGCATGCCAAGCCTACTGAGCAGTCTGACGCACCGGACAAGCCCGCTGGGCCTGGCGAGGCTGTTGACACGCTTTTGGAGCAGCCGTTAGCAACTGAGCCCGCTGAGAAGCCTTTAGCATCTGAGCTTGCTGAGGAACCTGCTGAGAAGCCTTTGGCAGCTGAGCATACACAGGAGACTGATGGGGGTGACGCACCAGACACGTCCGTTCCGCAGACTGATGCGCCTGAGAAGCCCACCCAACTGCCTACCCATCAGTCGGCTGAACAGCCGACTCAACAGCAGCCTGCGACAGCTGAGCCTCGGCCTGATGCGACGCCATCAAGACGAAGGCGAGGCACGGCTGCTCGCGCAGCCCCTGCCACGCCTGTTGTCGCACCGGTGCAAGGGGACAGAGTGGTGGGTGCAGTCGAGGGGCTGTTGCCTGGAGCGCTGCTCACGCCTGGCGGGAGGAGAATGACTCGGTCCATGTGGAGGTCTCTTGGACTGATGCCGGAAGGGGGGAGCGACAGTGACAGGAGCAGCATGAGCGCTAGTGCGAGTGCTAGTGCTAGTGCAAGTGTGAGTGTGAGTTTGTCGGGGCTGAGGAGAGGGGCGAGGAGAGGGAGAGGGGGGAGGCGGGGCGCTGGGAAGGGGGATGCTGGGAGCGAGAGCGGGATGAGCGCGGAAGGGGAGGGGGAAACGGAGGTGGAGAGTAAGGCGAAAGGGGCGGGAGGGGGAGTGGGGGGAGCGGGGGGGGGCGGGAGGTGAGGAGGGTGAAGGTGAAGGGAAGAGTTTGGTATTGGAGAGGATTAGTGAGTGGGAGGAGAGGATAATGGAGGTGGAAGAGGAGGAGCAGGAGGAGGAGGAGGTGCGTAGGGCGAAAGAGAGGGCCAAGGCAAGGGCTGAGGAGGAGAAAGCAAAGGGGAAGGAGAAAGAGAAGGCGAGAAGCCCGAAGGGTGGGCGGAGGGGAGGTGGAAGGGGTAAGCAGGGGAGGGAAAGTGAAGAGGAAGGGAGTGTGGCGGGAGGTGGAGTAGAGGAGGAAAAGGGAGGAGGCGAGGATGGAGGGGGTGAAGGGGAGACGAGTAAGCGGAAGGGGAATGAGGCAGGGAGGAAGGAGGGAGGGGTGGAGGAGAGGGTTGAGAGCGTGGGAATAGAGAGGGAGGGGGGACGGCGAGAGGAGGGGCAGGTGAACGTATATGTGCGGAGGAGGAAAAGGGCAGGAGGCATGGGGGAGGGGCAAGCGACACCATCAGGAAGCAATGTTGATGCTGCCATGTGCCACGAGACTAGCAACAGTGCTATGCGCCAAGAGGCGGGTTTAGGGGGAGGAGTGAATGACGCGGAAGCAGAGGCAGGCGTGAGTGGTGGAGTGGATTGGGCGGAAAAGGAGTTGGAGACTGGTGAGTCTGCTGGTGCTGCTGGTGCTTCTGGCAGTGCTGGTGCTGCTGGTGTTGTTGCTGGCGATGCTGCTGTTGCTGCTGATGATGATGCTGCTGCTGCCGCTGATGATGCTGCTGGTGCTGGTACTGCAAAGAGTGTACATGGCGAAATGGAGTGTGACGAGCAGCTGGAGGAGGAGAGAAGAGAGGAGGTGGTTCCTGGGCAAATGGGGAAGGTCAATACTGAACAAGGGGCGGAGGTCGCTCCTGGGCAAGGGGAGAAAGTGGCTTCTGGGGAACCGGGGGAGGTGGCTCCTGGGGAAGGGGGTGAGGTGCCTCTTGGAGAAGGGGACGGCGAAGGCAATAGGAATGCAGGGCAACAGGAGGGTCGTGGAGGGGTGCAAGCGGGGGGGAGGAAGGCGAAGGTTGCAGTTGGGGTGGAGGTGGAAAAGGAGAGGAGTGAGAAAGAGGCGAGGGAGACAGAAGAGATGGAGAAGGACGGGGCGATGAGGGAGGAGCTGGAGAGGGAGAGGAGGGAGAAGGAGGCACGAGAAAAAGAAGCGAGTGAGAAAGAGGCAAGGGAAAAGGAGGAAGCGATGAGGGAGGAGTTGGAGAAGGAGAGGCGGGAGAAGGAGGCGGCGGTGAGAGAGCTGCAGAGGATGAGGGCGGAGATGAAGTGGCAGATGGAGCTGATGCAGCAGCAGGTGGTGCGCGCCAGAAGGTAAGCTTTGATAGGATGGGGAGGGAGGGAAAGAAGATGGGGGTTAAGGGTTTAGGGATCAGACAGAGCGGCAACGGATGTGGGCGGAGATGAATATGGCAGATGGAACTGATGCAGCAGCAGGTGGTGCGTGCTAGAAGGTAATCTGTAGTTGGGGGGAATGGGGAGAAAAGGAAGCGGGTTAAGGGTTTAGGGATTAGACACCATTGCAGTGGATGAGGGTTGAGATGAAGTGGCAAATGGAACTGATGCAGCAGCAGGTGGTGCGTGCTAGAAGGTAATCTTTACCAGGGTGGGGAGATGGGAGAGAGGGAGGAGGGGGGAAAGGGTTTAGGGATCAGATAGAGCTGCAGAGGATGAGGGCGGAGATGAAGTGGCAGATGGAGCTGATGCAGCAGCAGGTGATGCGCGCCAAGAGGTCGGTGTGGAGGAAAGACGGATGGGGCTGATGGGGAAGAAAACTGTCCTCCTTTTCACCTGTTCAACTGTCATCCTTTCCACCTGTTTCAACTGTCCTCCTTTCCACCTGTTTCATCTGCCCTCCTTTCCACCTGTTTCAACTGTCCTCCTTTCCACCTGTTTCAACTGTCCTCCTTTCCACCTGTTTCAACTGTCCTCCTTTCCACCTGTTTCAACTGTCCTCCTTTCCACCTGTTTCAACTGTCCTCCTTTCCACCTGTTTCAACTGTCCTCCTTTCCACCTCCTTTCCACCTGTTTCAACTGTCCTCCTTTCCACCTGTTTCAACTGTCCTCCTTTCCACCTGTTTCAACTGTCCTCCTTTCCACCTCCTTTCCACCTGTTTCAACTGTCCTCCTTTCCACCTGTTTCAACTGTCCTCCTTTCCACCTGTTTCAACTGTCCTCCTTTCCACCTCCTTTCCACCTGTTTCAACTGTCCTCCTTTCCACCTGTTTCAACTGTCCTCCTTTCCACCTGTTTCAACTGTCCTCCTTTCCACCTGTTTCAACTGTCCTCCTTTCCACCTGTTTCAACTGTCCTCCTTTCCACCTGTTACAACTGTCCTCCTTTCCACCTGTTTCAACTGTCCTCCTTTCCACCTGTTTCAACTGTCCTCCTTTCCACCTGTTTCAGCTGTCCTCCTTTCCACCTGTTTCAACTGTCCTCCTTTCCACCTGTTTCAACTGTCCTCCTTTCCACCTGTTCAACCGTCCTCCTTTCCACCTGTTTCAACGTTCCGTATTCCCCCACCTCGATCTTCCCACGTTTTGCGATCTTCGGGTACTCTGGCTAGCTACAGGAACCTTGTGTGTGATGCTGAGACATGTCGGCATATTCTCCACCCGTCCTTCCCCCGATCCGTGCGCCACAGGTATTCGAGCTACAAGAACTCTGTTCATGCTGCCATGACCATGGCTTGTCAACCTCCTCCTCTCCATCGCCTCCCATCCCCACGTTCCTTCTTTCCCCGTGTTCCCTTCTTCCTTCACTTCCCCCTATCTGTGCGCCACAGGTATTCGAGCTACAAGAACTCTGTGCGTGCTGCCATGGCCATGGCTACCCACCTGCGCCAAACGGCTCGATCCAAGGTCAGTGCGGAGTGATGCTCTTTTTCTGCTGAGATGGACTTTGGGTAGTGCTATGATGCTCGCCCCTCATGTGTGCTTCCATGCCCATGGCTGCACACCTGCAGCACACAGCGACGTCTAAGATCAGTAGGCGTGCACCCCAATTTTCCCTCAACCCAAGCCGTATGTGTCTTCCACTTTTAGTTTGGCATGCTTGTATCATATTCCTCTCACCAAGCGGTTTTGTTCCTCTCTTTGCTGCAGGTTGCGCGAGCTAAAGCTCTGGCGGAAGCCCGAAGCAGAACCCGGGCAGGTGAATTTCCTGCAGCTGGGGAACCTGGGGGTCTGGGCAGGAAGAAACGATCGCCCGGTAAGCAGAGGAAAGGAATGGAAGCATCGCCAGTGTCCAAGCAGGGAAGGGTTGGAGAGGAGAGGCAAGGCTGGGATATAGTGATGGATGAGGGAGAAGAGAAGGGCACGAGGGCGGATGTGGCAAGGGGAAAGAAGATTCAGGCGGAAGGGAAGGAGCAGAAGGAAGATTATTCTGAGGAGGAGGGGGAAGAGGAAGCAGAGGGGCAGTGGGAAGAAGAGCCGGAGTGGGAGGATGGGGGAGGGGAGGAGGAACGTGAGGAGGGAGAGGAGGAGGAAGGTGAGGAGGGAGAGGAGGAGGGACCAGAGGAGGGAGAGGAGAGTGAGGAAGGGATTCCGTTGACGCGCAGTGTGCAGCGAGAGGCATCGTTCAAATCGTGGGTGAAAGCCGACTCCAAGTCGTCTGGGGGTACTGCTGCTTACAGTGGAGGGGGGTTGAAAGGAAGTATACAGGGGATTGGGTGTGCAGGGCGGGGGGGTGAAGAGGAAGGGGAGGTGGATCTGAGGCAGGTGAATCTGGCTGGTGCTCTAGACCGGGCGTGGGAGCAGGAGCAGGGAGAGAAAGAGGAGGGGGAGGAGGAGGCAGGAGAGAAGAGGAGGAAGAAGAAAGGGCGTGGGGGAGTTAAAGCTGGGGAGGATAAGAGCAGGGGGGGTGAGTGGGCCGGGGAGCAAGGAGGCGAGGTTGGGAGAACGGAAGAAAGGGAAGATGGAGGAGAGGAGAGGGGAGAGAGCGATAGTGGGAGTAGTTCAGAGGGAGGTGGGAGTGCGGCGAGCACGAGAGGATCGTCGGATTCACCAGGATCGGACGGTGGAGAGGGGTTTAGCTTTGATGACGTGGTGACACGTGCTGGGATATTAGAGGACGGAGGGGTGAAGCATTTGGAGAGGGGGGTAAGGGTGGGGGGAGAGGGTGAACCAGCGAGAACGCGTGAGAGAGATGATTGTGGTGGGGTGAATGAGGGTTTAGATGTGGGGATTAAGGGGGCTGCTGGTGATGGGTTGGAAGAAGGAGGGGAGGAGAGGGGTGTGAAGGTGGAGGGAGGCGATGAGAGAGAGGAGGGGGAGGTGGATGAAGGGGAAGAGGGAGAAGAAGGAGAGGAGGCAGGTGAGTGGGAGGGAAGGAGGGGAGATGTGGGAGAGGAGGGAGAGGAAGGAGAGGCTGGTGTGGGTGGAGAGGAGGTAGGTGTGGGAGAGAGGGGAAGAGAGGGGGAGAAAGCTAGCTGTAAGAGGGAGAAAGGGGCCGGTGTGGAGGGAAAGGCGCCTGATGCTAGGAACGGGGATGTTATGACTGGGATGAAGCGGAAGGGGGGAGGAGATTTGGAGGAGGTGAAAGTGAAAGGGAGGAAAAGGAAGGCGGAGGAAAAGGGGAATGCTGGTGATGGGCATGGGCATGGGCATGGGCATGGGAATGGTGTTTTTAGACTGGTGTGGAGGAGGATTGGACGGAGGTGGATGTTACAACGGGTGGCCGAGTGTTGCTGATATGCATGAAATGGAATGAGAAGACTTATACTGGGAGTAGGCGCCAGGGTTGGAGGAGGGTTGGTCGCAGGTTGATGTGTAACTGGTTTCGCAACAGATGGTCGACTGTTGCTTAGATGCTTGGAATATGCAAAGAGTTTTAGCCTTTTCCAGAGGTTACGCATGAGATGTAGTTAGCACGAATCGTCCTCTACGTAATCTGTAGCAGGCTTAAATTTGTAGTGCATAGGAGTACGCAATGTAGTGACTAGTCTCTAGTTTAGTGTTGTCTTTTATAGGTTTGGTGAAGTGTTTTATCCAAGTGTTGTGGCTAGTTACGACTCTCCTTGTATTTGCTCGCTGTGCCCGAAAGCTCATATCACTTGCCACGGTTTCGTTGGGTGCGTTTCGGTTTCAAAAAGTCAAATATGCCAGAACGCTGTTAACCGATGGAAAGCCCTTCTGAACCGTTCAGGGACGATGAGCATTCAAGCGCACAGCATTTTCCCCGATTCACCCCTTCCGAAACCAGCTGGGATACTCCTTTGAATCTGCCTCGTCCAGCCGCGAAACGCGCTGCATGGCGGACAGCAGTCGTCGTATAAGGCGAAGCGCCATCGCTACAGCTAGGCCAAATAGCATGAAGTTCCATGGTTCATCCCAACGCATCAAGGCAGCTACAGAGGCATCTTTTATTGTACGCGAGGTTGTTATTGGCCGTTCGATTTCATCCCACGGTCGAGGTGTGATCTCCTACAGAGTGACGGCGGGTCGCCATTGCCTCGAAACCGGAGCTGTTCCGTTACCGTCACCGTCACCGTCACCGTTAACGTTTCCGTCCTCGTGATTGTTTCGTCGCTCGGTCGTCTCGTTCGTGGCATAACCTTCAAGACGGGGTACACAAGCGGTGATGGCCGGCACGGGAAGTGTCGAAGCTGTACCGTGCTTTTGCCACAGGAGGAACCGCCGCGAGACTAGTAAGCTGATTGCGAGGGTTTCCTGTAGAGCAGCAGCGAGAGGAGTAAGCATACTGCCGACGCCGACGGCGACGCGTGTCTTGAGTCTGCGTACGAAAGTGGGTGTCAGGGTTTCCTTGACCGAAACGAAGCAAGTTATTGACGAGAAGTAGCATCTTCAGCCATGGCTGCTTGTCTCAATAAATTGTCAGGAAGAAACGGATTAGTGTCGTTCGCGATGGCGTTGTTTCTGGTGCTGCTTCTACTGGCGGCACTCCCACTGAATCCCTCGGGAGTTACGACCGTTGCTGCGGTGCCGCTGCGGGACTTTCGCGGCAGCAGGCGAATTGGGGTTACCGCCCGTGCGAGTAGGGTTGAGATTCTCGCACCAGATGCTGGCGGCAGCAGCAGCAACAACCCGCCTCTTCCCGTGGCGGGGATTTTTGGCGACCTTCAGGTGCGGTTTTCAGTCAAGTGTTCTTTCTGAGAAATAAAATCTTGCACTTCGTGTTTTTGCTGCCGTTTACGCTCCAATTCATTCCATCCTTCTCACGTCCCATTTCTCCACTCCATCCTTTCCTCCATTTTCCTGCTCCCTCCCTCCCTCCCTCCCTCCCTCCCTCCCTCCCTCCCTCCCTCCCTCCCTCCCTCCCTCCCTCCCTCCCTCCCTCCCTCCCTCCCTCCCGCCCTCCCTCCCTCCCGCCCTCCCTCCCTCCCTCCCTCCCTCCCTCCCTCCCTCCCTCCCTCCCTCCCTCCCTCCCTCCCTCCCTCCCTCCCTCCCTCCCTCCCTCTCTCCCTCCCTCCCTCCTCGCCCACCATCCTTTTCTGTTCTTGTTTACTCACCCCATCCCTCCCTCCTCGCCCACCAGAGCCCAGCGGCATCCAGCTATTCCATGTTCGTGCAAGCCATGGCGTCCCTCCAGCCCCCCATGGACTATGTTGCTTTCCTCAACGGAGCTGTCAACAGGTCATAAAAATCTCTTCCCTTCTCCACTCCCTTTCTCCTACCCTCCCACCAGAGCCCAGCGGCCTCGGATTACTCCATGTTCGTGCAAGCCATGGCACCCCTTCAGCCCCCCATGGACTATGCTGCTTTCCTCAACGCACCTCAACACGGCATTCGATATTCCATCCTGCTTCTGTACTTTCCACAACATTCCACCAGAGCCCAGCCGCCTCGGACTATTCCGTGTTTGTGCAAGCCATGGTGTCCCTCCAACCCCCCATGGACTGCTGTTTTCCTCAACGGGGGGGGTCTGTCATGGCATCATATCTCTTCCTTTCCCCACGCCCATCCGCCCTCCCTCTCCCACCAGAGCCCAGCCGCCTCAGACTATTCCATGTTCGTGCAAGCCATGGCGTCCCTCCAGCCCCCCATGGACTATGTCGCTTTCCTCAACGGGGCGGTGGGCATGGCCAATGGCATCACCATCCTCGCACCCTCCAATGCCGCCTTCCAGGTGATCAAGTGCACGGCAGGGTGAGGTTGGGGAGCATGGGGTATGGTGATAGCTGCCAGATGAAGCAGTGGGTGCTTTCCTCAATGCGCGGTGGGCATGGCCAATGGCATCACCATCCTCGCACCCTACAATGCCGCCTTCCAGGTGATCAAGTGCACGGCAGGGTGAGGTTGGGGAGCATGGGGTATGGTGATAGCTGCCAGATGAAGCAGTGGGTGCTTTCCTCAATGCGCGGTGGGCATGGCCAATGGCATCACCATCCTCGCACCCTCCAATGCCGCCTTCCAGGTGATCAAGTGCACGGCAGGGTGAGGTTGGGGAGCATGGGGTATGGTGATAGCTGCCAGATGAAGCAGTGGGTGCTTTCCTCAATGCGCGGTGGGCATGGCCAATGGCATCACCATCCTCGCACCCTCCAATGCCGCCTTCCAGGTGATCAAGTGCACGGCAGGGTGAGGTTGGGGAGCATGGGGTATGGTGATAGCTGCCAGATGAAGCAGTGGGTGCTTTCCTCAATGCGCGGTGGGCATGGCCAATGGCATCACCGTCCTCGCACCCTCCAATGCCGCCTTCCAGGTGATCAAGTGCACGGCAGGGTGAGGTTGGGGAGCATGGGGTATGGTGATAGCTGCCAGATGAAGCAGTGGGTGCTTTCCTCAATGCGCGGTGGGCATGGCCAATGGCATCACCATCCTCGCACCCTCCAATGCCGCCTTCCAGGTGATCAAGTGCACGGCAGGGTGAGGTTGGGGAGCATGGGGTATGGTGATAGCTGCCAGATGAAGCAGTGGGTGCTTTCCTCAATGCGCGGTGGGCATGGCCAATGGCATCACCATCCTCGCACCCTCCAATGCCGCCTTCCAGGTGATCAAGTGCACGGCAGGGTGAGGTTGGGGAGCATGGGGTATGGTGATAGCTGCCAGATGTTAAAATATATATTGTGTAGCATGCCAACACATGTGACTGTACACCAATTGTGGTGTACAGTTGGGTTGGGACTACACCCAACTTTGGGTGTAGTCTTGCACTTTGGGGTGCCAATCCACCCAATTGTGGTGGAGCCCCCAAATGCAACCCTCTTGACTTGTGGGTACCTCACTTCCCACAATTGAGGTTACCCCAAGCCAAGTGGGCCTAGGGTTGCCTCACTTCTACAAAGTGTGGGCAACCCAACCCACTTGACCTATGGTTCCCTCACTTCCCCAAGTGAGGTCAACCCAACCTATGGTCGCTTTCATCCTTCCCTTCCAACCTTCCCTTCCAACTATGTATGCTAGGTTGTTCCTCTAATCTAATTACTTGTTCAATTCACAATCTTCACATGGTATAGAGCTAGTTGTTCCTAAGCCTTCTCTCTCCCTCCCTCAAAGTTTTTTCTTCCCCATGGGCCCACCCCACAGCCACAAACCCCCTACGTGTGGCTCAACCTAGCATCTCCTTGGCACGACCTACGTCGTCGCCGCCCTCCCCTCCCTCCGCCGTGATTGCGCCCTCCTCGCCTGCGGATCCCACCGCCGCGAGTGCATCACCGCCCCCCGTCGCCGCGACACACCGTCGCTGCCCCCCCCCCCCCCCCCCCCCCTCCCCCTTTTTTCCGCCGCCGCGCCTTCTCTGGCGCCGCCTGCACATCCCGCCGCGACGCCTCGTCGCCGCCTCCTCCTCCCCCTGCCGCGACCCCCCGTCGCCGTCTCCCTCCCGCCGCCGCGCCTACTTCGGCGTCGTCCGCGCATCCTTCCGCCGCGACGCCCCGTCGTCGCCTGCCCCTCCCGCTGCCGCGACGTCGCGTCGCCGCCTCCCCCCACCGCCGCCGCGCCTTCCTCGGCGCCGCCTGCGCATCCCGCCGCCGCGACGCCCCGTCGTCGCCTCCTGTCCCGCCGCCGCGACTTCGCGTCGCCGCCTGCACTCCCCATCGCCGCGACCCCCCGTCGCCGCCTACGCATCCCGCCGCCGCGACCCGCTCGTCGCCGCCTGCACGATCCGCCGCCGCGACTTCGCGTCGCCGCCTGCACGACCCGCCGCCGCGACTTCGCGTCGCCGCCTGCACGACCCGCCGCCGCGACTTCGCGTCGCCGCCTGCGCATCCCGCCGCCGCGACCTTCTCGTCGCCGCCTGCACCCCTTGCCGCCGCGACCTTCTCGTCGCCGCCTGCACCCCTTATCGCCGCGACCTAACAATCGCCGCCCCCGCATCCTACCGCCGCGACCTGCTCGTCGCCGCCCGCGCATCCCGCCGCCGCGCCTTCCTCGTCGCCGCCCGCGCATCCCACCGCCGCGCCTTCCCCGTCGCCGCCCGCGCATCCCTCCGCCGCGCCCTCCTCGTCGCCGCTCGCTCATTCCGCCGCCACGATTCCCTCGTCGCCACCCGCGCATCCCGCCGCCGACCGTTCCTCGTAGCAGCCGCCTCATCCCGCAGCAGCAGCGTCATTGGCAGCAACAGCTTCGCCCACAGCTACACCTGCGTTCTCCCTCCCCCTCCCCCTTTCCTCCTCCTCTCCTCCCACGCAGCAGCAGCCGGGACAGCTCAGCAGCCACAGCAGCAACAGCGGCAGCAGCGGCAGCATCAGGAGCAGCGATAGCAGCGGCAGCAGCTGCATCCACCATCTTCCTCCCCCTCCTCCCCTCCCCCCCCCCCCCTCCTCCCTCTCAGCAGCAGCAGCGGCAGCAGCGGCAGCAGCGGCAGCAGCGCCAGCAGCGGCAGCAGCGGCAGCAGCGGCAGCAGCGGCAGCAGCGGCAGCAGCAGCAGCAGCCGGAGAAGAACTCCACTCCCCGCAGCAGCACCCCCCCCCCCCTCCTCCCTCTCGGCTGCCGCGGGTCCACCCGCCGTCGCCCTCCCACTTGACCGCCGCGGGTCCACCCGCCGCCGTCCACCTCGAGGCTGCCGCGGGTCCACCCGCCGTCGCCCCTCATGGCTACCACTCCTCCCCCTCTCCCCCCTCCCATTGACGCCTCCTCCGTCGACAAGCTTCAGCTTGCCGCGGACCGCTCGGCGATCAACTGGCATTCCTTCGTCGGGAGCATCCGCCGTGTTCTCCAAGATGCATTCGTCGGACCCTACTGCGTCCTTGACGTCCTCCTCCGCCGCCCGCAAGCCCTCCAGCCCACGGCACCCAATCACCCCGGCGAACCCCCTCCACCCCCCATTCCTCCTGGTCCTCCTCCTCCTGAACCCACCTTGGAGATCGCCACTTCCCCAGCGCTCCAAGATGCCGCCGATGCCGCATTTCTCCACGATCGCCGCGAATACCTCATGTCAAACATTATACATGTTCATATTGTGTAGGCTATAGTGGGTTTAGCCTTAGGGGGTACAACATTGCTAGGGTTTCCTACTTGTATCACCCTGCTGCCTAGTTTCACACATTTTTCTCGTTCAGTTCTACATTCTAACATGGTATCACGAGCCTAGGTTGCTACCTAGGACCGCCTTCTCCTACGGGCCCACTATTCCGCTAGAAGCGCCCTCGTGCGCCCTACCTTACGTGCGCCCTCGTGCGCCTTTCTATACTCGTGCGCCCTCGTGCGCCCTCGTGCGCCCTACCTTACGTGCGCCCTCGTGCGCCCCCGTGCGACCTGCCCTTCGGTCTGCCCGCGTGCCGTCCTGCAGCCCTCGCGCTGCCTCTTGCAAGCTAGTACGGCCCTCGAGCCGCCCCTGCAGGTCCGTCAGGCCCCCGAGCCGCCTCTGCAGACCCGTCAGGCCCCCCCGAGCCGCCTTTGCAGGCCCGCCAGGCCCGAGAGCCGCCCCTGCAGCCAGCGCGCTGCCCTGCCGAGCCGCGTGTCGCCCGTGGGCGCTGCCTCTGCCCCGTCGCGCTGCCCTGAGGAGCCGCGCGCGACCCCCGCTATCCCGTCGCGTCGCCCTGGGGAGCCGGGCTCGGCCCCCGCTGCCCCGTCGCGACGCCCTGGGGAGCCGCGCTCGGCCCCCGCTGCCCTGTCGCGACGTCCTGGGGAGCCGCGCTCGGCCCCCGCTGACCCGTCGCGACGCCCTAGGGAGCCGCGCGCGACCCCCCGCTGCCCCGTCGCGACGCCCTAGGGAGCCGCGCGCGCCCCCCCCCCCCCCCCCCCCCCGCTGCCCCGTCGCGGCGCCCTGGGGAGCCGCGCGCCGCCCCCCCCCCCCCCCCCCCCCCCCCCCTCGCTGCTGCCCGAGCCACCCTGCAGCCCGCGAGCCGCCTCTACAGCGCCGAGTGCGCTCTGCCAAACCCTAAAATAAATAATTAATTATATAAAAAAAAAAAAAAAAAAAAAGGGAGCAGCTGCCCCTGGCCCCTGGAGCAGCCGCCCCTGGAGCAGCCGCCCCTGCAGCAGCCGCCCCTGCAGCAGCTGCCCCTGCAGCAGCCGCCCCTGGACCTCTGCAGCCGCCCCTGGCCCCTGGAGCAGCCGCCCCTGCAGCTGCCGCGGAGCCCTCGCCCTGCAGTGGTAGCGGCCTCGCCGTTACCACCGTCGTACGCCTGCTCTTCTCGCCACTGGTGAGCACTGCCCTGCCCGTATTGCTGTTACTGCTGCTCCTGCTGCTACTGCTCTTTCTACTTCTACTGCTGCTCCTGGCGTGGCCAGATGCAGCTCCAGCGCCGTCCGCGTGAGTCCCTCACGCCCCAACAGCTTCGTGAGTGGTATGCTGGTTGGAGTTGTAGGGGTGGCCGCGCTGCTGCTACTACTACTGCTACTGCTGCTCCTGGCGGTGGCCAGATGCAGCTCCCGCGACGTCCGAGTGAGTCCCTCACGCCCCAGCAGCTTCGTGAGTGGTACGCTCAGCGTGGAGGGTCACGGGGTACTGCTCGCTGCCCGTACGTCATTCGCACTGGTGCTCGGACTGGTCAGCCTTGCGGGACGTTTGGTCACACAGAGTCCCGCTGCTTCGCCCGTCTGAGCGACGCCTGGCGTACAGAGTTTGGCGACGCGGCTGAGCTCCCCGACTGGGTGGAGTTGCTTAGGCAGAGGGTAGATATCTATGCTCTTGACTATGATGCTATCCTCACTGCCATGTATGCATTTCCTACTAGTGCTGAGAGTGCCTGTCACCTGTGTGTGCCGCCTGACCCCGGTATCCAGTCTGCTGCTCTAGGTACTGGTGAGGCTGCTGCACTAGGTGCTCGTGTGTCTGTTGCCCCAGGTGCTGGTGAGGCTGCTGCTCTAGGTACTCGTGAGTCTGCGCCCTCTGGTACTGCGTCTACTGAGGCACTGCACACCTTCACACTGGACTCAGGCGCTTCCCGCTGTTTCTTTCGTGACCGCACTGCCCTTGAGCAGCTTGCTCGGCCGGTTGCAGTCTCCCTCGCTGACCCCTCTGGGGGTCCGGTCATTGCGACCTCCTCTACTGTTCTCCCTTGTCCTGCGGTCCCGTCGGGCACTCTGTCAGGTCTCTACCTCCCCTCGTTCTCTACGAACTTGGTGGCGGGTAGTGCGCTCCAGGACGGGGGTGTCCACCAGTTTACCCCTGCCTACGAGCGTGTGACACACTGCACGTGCGCTCGGACGGGCCGCCACCTGGCTACCTTCACTCGGCAGCCGGGGTCGGACCTGTACACACTGACCACTGAGTCCCCACAGGTAGCTGCGTCTGCGTCTGCGTCGGGTCAGCTGTCTGCCCCCTGCTCGTGTCGCTCTCTGGCACACGAGACTGTCCTCTGGCACCACCGTCTTGGTCACCCGTCAGTGCAGCGCCTTCGTGCCATGCACAACCGGTACCTTGTCTCTGGTCTTCCCAGGGTTCTCCCTCCACTCCCACCCTCGCCTGCTCCTCCCTGCCTTCCCTGTGTCGAGGGGCGGCAGCGCGCCGCTCCTCACTCCTCCTCGTTTCCCCCGACGACTGCTCCCTTGCAGACGCTCCACATGGACGTGTGGGGCCCAGCCCGCGTCCGTGGACAGGGTCAGGAGAGGTACTTCCTGATCGTTGTTGACGACTACTCGCGCTACACCACGGTCTTCCCCTTGCGCACCAAGGGTGAGGTCCCTGATGTTTTGATCCCTTGGATCCGCGCTGCTCGTCTCCAGCTCAGTGAGCGGTTCCACTCGGACTTTCCTGTCCTGCGTCTGCACTCTGACAGAGGTGGTGAGTTCTCCTCTGACCTCTTGGCGGCCTACTGTGCGGAGCACGGCATCCGCCAGTCGTTCACGCTTCCGGCCTCTCCACAGCAGAATGGGGTTGCTGAGCGCCGCATTGGTTTGGTCATGGAGGTCGCTCGTACCTCCTTGATCCATGCGGCTGCCCCCCACTTTCTGTGGCCGTTTGCAGTCCGATACGCTGCGCATCAGCTCAACCTCTGGCCCCGTGTCTCCGTTCCGGAGACTTCGCCGACACTGCGTTGGACGGGAGAGGTTGGCGATGCGTCGCGTTTTCGGGTCTGGGGGTCCCGAGCTTTTGTTCGCGATACGTTCGCGGACAAGCTCTCCTCCCGCGCTGTTCCCTGTGTCTTCCTTGGCTTTGTCCCGGACGCGTCTGGTTGGCAGTTTTACCACGCCACCTCGCGCCGTGTCCTGCCCTCTCAGGACGTCACTTTTGACGAGTCCGTGCCCTACTACCGCCTCTTCCCCTACCGCACTGCCCCGCTCCCCCCCCCGCCTCTCTTCCTCGCGCCAGGTGCTGCTGTGGTAGACCCCCTCCCCCCTCAGGGTGCCGCTCCCTCAGGTGTGTCCCAGGTAGACCCGGTTGAGCCTGTCGAGGTAGCTGTCGACTCTCGTCCTGCCAGGGGTGCTGAGCCTGAGCGTGCGGAGCCTGGGGTTGCGGAGTCTGGGGGTGCTGAGCCTGGGGGTGCGGGGTCTGGGGGTGCGGAGCCTGCGGGTGCTGAGTCTGGGGGTGCTGAGCCTGGGGGTGCGGAGCCTGCGGGTGCTGAGTCTGGAGGTGCTGAGCCTGGGAGTGCTACGTCTGAGAGTACTGAGCCTGAGCGTGCTGCACCTGGGGGAGGCCTCTCCTCGCAGCAGCTGCGTGAGTGGTACTTACAGTACTGCAGCCTCAGGAGAGGTGCTTCTGGAGCTCGGAGTGGTGCCGGAGCTGGTGCTAGTGCTTCCCCTCCTAGGCGGGAGCTGCCCTCTCCCCAGCAGCTCCGAGAGTGGTACGCTAGGCGCTGCAGTCTCCGGAGTGGCGCTCCCGGTGTCGTGGACTCTGGAGCTTCTGGAGTTACTGGAGGTGCTGCTGCTGCTGGCGGTGCGGCTGGCGCTGCTGGAGGTGCTGCTGGTGCTGCTGGAGCTGCTGGAGGTACTGCTGCTGCTGGAGGTGCTGCTGGCGCTGCTGGAGGTACTACTGGTTCTGGTGCTGCTGGAGCTGCTGGAGGTGCTGCTGCTGCTGGCGGTGCGGCTGGCGCTGCTGGAGGTGCTGCTGGTGCTGCTGGCGCTGCTGGAGGTGCTACTGGTGCTGGAGCTACTGGAGCTGCTGGTGGTACTGCTGCTGCTGGCGGTGCTGCTGGCGCTGCTGGAGGTGCTGCTGGTACTGGTGCTGCTGGAGCTGCTGGAGGTGCTGCTGCTGCTGGTGGTGCTGCTGGCACTGCTGGAGGTGCTGCTGGTACTGGAGCTGCTGGGGACCCTGCTGCTGCTGGCGGTGCTGCTGGAGCTGCTGGGACTGGCCCTGCTGAGGGGGTTGGAGCTGGAGGTGCTGAGCGGCCACGGCCGTACTACGTTCCGCTCCTTCAGCAGGTTCTTGGCCTTCCGCCCTCTCCTGGTCCTACTCCTCCCCTACTGAGTCCACCGCTTGTCCAGTCGCAGTCACAGTTACAGCCAGTCTCTCCACTTCCTGGTCCTTCTCCCTACACTGCGCCGACGGGAGGTCTTACGGAGCGTCGTGAGCCTGAGTCTCGTCCTCCGTCGCCTGAGACGCGTCCAGAGTCGCCTGTCCGCGCTGTCCGCGCTGGTCGTCGTGTTCCACGTCAGCGTCCTCCTCCTGTCCTTGGCACTCACTATATGACCCTGCGTCCCTCTACTGCTCCACAGCGTGTCCCACTGCCGTCTCCACCAGCGTCCTCTCTTCCTGCTCTTGCTGACCCGGAGTCTGACTCTCTTCGTGCTGCCAGTCCTACTGTCACGCGTCTCCTTGCCACTGCTGTCACTGACCCTTCCTTTGAGTCCTCTGCTGCGTCTGCTCTAGTCGCTGAGCTTGTTGACTTTGCTGCTGCCTGTCGTCTAGACTACGCCGCTAGCCTTGTTGCTGAGTCTGAGTCTGAGTCTATCTGTCCTCCGTCTGTCGGGGGTGAGTGTGCTCTTGGCACGGACGTCCTTGAGGACAGACAGGAGGAGTTTGAGTGCTTTGCCGCTGCTTTGCCTCATCTCGTGTCCATGCTAGTTGCCCCTGAGGGAGACCCGGATGCACCAGACATCCCGACCCCACGCTCCTACGCAGAGGCGATGGAGGGTCCCTACTCCTCTCAGTGGCAGACAGCCATGGACGCAGAGATGGCATCCTGGAAGTCCACAGGCACCTACGTCGACGAGGTTCCCCCACCTGGGGCGAACATCGTCAGTGGCATGTGGATTTTCAGGGTGAAGCGGCCGCCGGGTTCTCCGCCTGTCTTCAAGGCGCGTTACGTTGCACGAGGCTTCAGTCAGCGAGAGGGAGTTGACTTCTTCCAGACCTTCTCCCCGACCCCGAAGATGACCACTCTTCGGGTTCTGCTGCACGTCGCTGCTCAGCGTGACTACGAGCTCCACTCTCTTGACTTCAGCACTGCGTTCTTACAGGGCAGCCTGCACGAGGAGATCTTGCTGCGCCGCCCACCTGGCTTCACTGGGTCGTTCCCTCCTGGTACCCAGTGGAGCCTCCGGCGGCCAGTCTACGGTCTCCGCCAGGCACCCCGTGAGTGGCACGACACACTGAGGACTACTCTTGCTGCTCTTGGGTTTGCTCCTTCTACTGCTGACCCGTCGCTGTTTCTACGCACCGACACCACTCTGCCGCCGTTCTACGTTCTTGTTTACGTAGACGACTTGGTCTTTGCTACTGCTGACACTGAGGCACTCGCCCACGTGAAGTCGGAGCTGCAGAAGAGACACACGTGCACAGACCTGGGTGAGCTGACAAGCTATCTTGGCTTGCGGATCACCCGGGACAGAGCACAGCGCACCATCACCTTGACTCAGTCACACATGGTGCAGCAGGTCCTTCAGCGCTTCCGCTTCACGTACTCCTCGCCTCAGCCCACTCCTCTGCCTACCGGTCACTCGCTCTCAGCTCTGCCTTCGGATGAGTCCGTAGAGCCGAGTGGCCCGTATCCAGAGCTTGTGGGCTGCCTCATGTACCTGATGACCTGCACTCGACCTGACCTGGCATACCCTCTTAGCATCCTAGCACGCTATGTCGCTCCCGGCCGTCACCGGAAGGAGCACATGGATGCCGCTAAGAGGGTGTTGCGCTACTTGTGCAGTACGTCGGGCATGGGGCTCGTGCTTGGAGGTCGGAGCGACGTTGTCCTCACGGGTCACTCAGACGCTTCTTGGGCTGACGACCAGGCTACGCAGCGGTCGTCTCAGGGTTACACCTTCAGCCTTGGCTCTGGTTCAGTTTCTTGGCGTTCTACTCGCTCTTCTTCTGTTCTCAGCTCCAGTTGTGAGGCTGAGATCTACGCCACAGCCATGGCTGCACAGGAGTTACGCTGGCTCACCTACCTGCTGACCGACCTGGGAGAGCGGCCTCGTTCTCCTCCAGTGCTGTACGTTGACAACAAGGCCGCCATTGCCTTGTGTGAGGAGCACAGACTGGAGCACAGGACGAAGCACATCGCTCTGCGCTACTTCCTTGCTCGAGAGCTGCAGCAGCGTGGTCAGCTTCGTCTGCGTTACGTGGCCACTCGGGCCAACACTGCTGATGTGTTCACCAAGGCGCTTCAGCCTTGTGACCATCAGCGTTTCTGTACTGTTCTAGGCCTTGTGCCTACTCTCCCTCACTTGCTCACTTCTTGACTCTGCTTGTACTGTGATCTCTATATATATATACCTGCATGTTTACTCTTGTTAGGTTGTGATCACTGTACCTCTTGTTATATTATCAAACTGCATGTGAACTGGTCTTGTGACCACTTGCTTGTGCTCGGAATTTGTGTGGTTTCCTTGAGATCCACCCTGAGCTTGCTTTGCTTTGCTTTGACTGGTCTTGTGACCATCTGGTTGTCTCCCACTTAGCCTATGGGGGTGTGTCAAACATTATACATGTTCATATTGTGTAGGCTATAGTGGGTTTAGCCTTAGGGGGTACAACATTGCTAGGGTTTCCTACTTGTATCACCCTGCTGCCTAGTTTCACACATTTTTCTCGTTCAGTTCTACATTCTAACACCTCATCCGCAAGGCGGAGCATGAGGTTGCGGTACATAACCACGACTTCGCGGTAGCGGAACGCGCGAATCGCCTGGCGCTCCTTGATGAGTACAATACGGCCATGGCGGACTACCTCCCTCGGAGCATCGCATAGGCCACTGCTGACAACCGCGCCTGCACCATCCTCCTCGGCGCACTCCCTGATACCCTCATGCGCCGTTTCCAAGCTCGCGAGATGCGCGCCTCCCTCATCTGGGCCGAGCTCCAGGCCATGTTCGAGCGTCGCGACATCAGCTCTGTCGGCGCCCTGTTGCAGGAGTACTTCTCCATCACCCTCGCCACTTGTGATGGCGCAGTTGACTACGTGGGGCGCATGCAGGAGGTCGCTGATCGCCTTGCGGCACGCCAAGCTGCCCTCCCCGAGCCCCTGCAAATCCACCGCCTCCTCTACAACCTCACCCCGGACTACGAGTCCCGCCTCCATGCCTTCACTGAGGCCAACCCCATGGCCGGCCTCGACGACGTGGTCCAGTGGATCATTGACACGGAGGTCAAGCTCCGCACCCCCGTTGTCAACCTTACCACCCCTCAGTCCTCCTCCTCCACCTCCCTCAACGCTACGCAGCCGCGCAACCAGGGTGGTCGCAGCGGCGGCGGCGGAGGCCGTGGAGCGGGTGGCGGTGGTGGTGGTGGAGGCCGTGGTGGTGGCGGTGGTGGTAGTGGTGGCCGTGGTGGCCGTGGTGGCGGTGGTGGTGGTGCTGGCAGCGCCCCTGCTGGAGGTGCTGTGACTCAAGGCGGACGCCCTGGCACTCTCCCCCCATGCACATATGTGTGTCGCCATGGTCCCCATGCAGGTACCCCTTGCGGCCAGACCAACCATCCCCCCACCACGTGCTTTAAGGCACTCGACGACGCCTGGTTTGATCGCGGCAACACTGGCACCCCTCCTCGCTGGAACTCGGTCACACCTCGCCCCTCCTTAGTGGACATTCAAACCCTCCCCTCTTTCCTTCCTGCTCACCTCCGCATGGTTACCCCCTCCCCACCCTCACAGCTGCAGCAGTTTCAGCAGCACCAGCAGCAGCAGCACCTGTACTTCCACCAGCAGCAGCAGCAGCCGCAGTTTCTCCAGCCCCAGCAGCCGCCGCCGCCGCAGTTCTTCCAGCCACCGCCGCAGCAGCAGCAGCAGTTCCTTCCCCCACCCTGGCAGCAGCAGCCACTCACCTTCGGCGCAGCGGCCATGGCCGCTCATACCTCCCTTCCTCCTCCTCCCCCCTGGGGTTCCCTCCCCTCTGCCCCCCCCAGTGTTCCCGACACTTCTGGTAGTTTCCTTGGTAATATCAGTGTTGCACCGTCCGTCGCTGCCATGTATCCCTCTGCTATCAATGAGACTTCGTTTCAGTACCCCGTCCCACCCCCTCCTCCCTCTTCTCCCACCCTGGACTTTGTCCTTGACAGTGGAGCCACTGAAACCGCACTGAAAGACGCTGGCACTCTCACCCCACTACCACTTCCCACTCAGGTTCATGGGGCTGATTCCAGCTTTTCCATTCCATGCACTCACCTCTCCACCCTCCCTTGCACTGCCTTCCCCTCCGGTAAGGTCACAGGTCTCCACATCCCCACTCTCCGCAACAACCTCCTCTCCCACCGTGAGCTCCAAGGTGTTGGTATCACTGCCATTTACCCCGGTTATGCCAATTACTGTGATCTCTACCAAACCTCCTCCGGTCGCTTCCTTCTCCGCATTCCGCTTTGCCCCCGCACTCGCCTCTACACACTCCGCACGCCTCGCCCATCCTTCTGCCACGTCACCACTCGTTCCGGTGCTTCCACCGGTCCACCTCCTCCTCCTTTACTTCCCCCTTCCCCTCCCCCTCAAGTATCCTCTTCTCCCTCCCCACCATCCTCCTCCTCCCCTCCCGTTCCTTCCATCACCCCATCTCCCTCCTCCTCCACTACCCTCTCCCACCCTGCTGTCCTCTTACACCACAGACTCGGCCATCCCAACTTCACCGCCCTTCGCACCACAGTCACCTCTCGCCTCCTCCGCAGCCTTCCTCCTGTTTTACCTCCCCTCCCCTCCTCCCCCTCTCCCCCATGCCCTTCATGCATTCACGGCAAGCTCAAACAGTCCTCCCACCACAGTCATCCCACCTTCACCGCCGCCCCCATTGACCTTGTGCACATGGACCTCTGGGGCCCCTATCCCATCCGCTCCCGCCAGGGGCATCGGTACATGCTCGTCCTCGTTGACGACCACAGCCGGTACTCCACCACCTTCTTCCTTCACACGAAAGACCAGGTGCCGGCAGTGGTCATCAACTGGGCCGAACAGTGCCGCAATCACTTCAAACGCCCCATCGGCCGCCTTCACTCTGACGGTGGGGGTGAGTTCATCAATAACACCCTTGCCACATACTGCAACACCTACGGCAGGTGCCGGCAGTGGTCATCAACTGGGCCGAACAGTGCCGCAATCACTTCAAACGCCCCATCGGCCGCCTTCACTCTGACGGTGGGGGTGAGTTCATCAATAACACCCTTGCCACATACTGCAACACCTACGGCATCCAACAGACCTCCACCCTTCCCCACTCCCCTCAGCAGAACGGCATTGCTGAGAGCCGCATTCGTGAGATCACCAAGATAGCTCGCTGTCTCATTGCTCATGCCTCCACCCCTCCTTCCCTCTGGAGCTATGCCCTCCTCCACGCCGCTCTTCTCCTTAATCTCCGCTCCCACCCTCAGCATCCTTCCTCCTCCCCTACAGAGCTTTGGTCCAACGCCAAACCCGACGCTGCCGGCCTTCGCGTTTGGGGTTGCAAGGCCTTCGTTCTCATCCCACCCGCCGACCGCTCCCGCGCCGCTGGCAAGCTTGCTCCTCGCGCCCTGGAATGCGTTTACCTTGGGCACAATCGCGACTCCCCAGGCTACCTCTTCCTCCACCCTCCCACCAATCGCCTCATCCGCAGCGGCGACGTCGTCTTCGACGAATCCGTCCCCTATTACTCCACTCCTCCCCCTGATCCTCTCCCTCCTCCCACTCGTCCCCTTGCTTGGACCGACACCGTCCTCCCGCCCCTTCTCCCTCCAGCCCCTCTCCTCCCACCCGTCGCAGCTCCGCTCCCGCCCTCCTCCTCCGCCGATGTCTACGACCCTGCCGCACCCGCTTCCCCCGCTCACTCGGCCGCACCCCCTCCCCCCCCTCCCTCCTCCTCTCCCTCTCCCTCCTTCCAGCAGCCGGATCAGCAGCAGCAGCAGCAGCAGCAGCCGCAGCAGCAACAGCAGCAGCAGCAGCAGCCGGGACAGCAGCCGGGGCAGCAGCAGCAGCAGCAGCCGGGCCAGCAGCAGCAGCAGCAGCCGGGCCAGCAGCAGCAGCAGCAGCCGGGCCAGCAGCAGCAGCAGCAGCGGCAGCCGGGACAGCAGCAGCAGCAGCAGCAGCATCAGCAGCAGCAGCAGCAGCGGCGGCAGCAGCAGCAGCAGCCTCAGCAGCCTCAGCAGCCGCAGCACCAGCACGGTCAGCCGCAGCCGCAGCAACAAGGGCAGCAGCTTCCGCAGCACCAGCAGCAGCAGCGGCGTCGTGCCACTTCCCGTTCCTCCCCCTTCCTCCTCCCTTACATCCATACCCGCTCTGTGGACAAAAATCCTTGGGGCTCCTCCTCCTGCCTCCATTCAGCTCCTTGAGGACTCCCATGAGGAGTTTCTTAACATTCGGGAGCACACTCCATTCCTTGCCGCCCTCTACCTTGACTTCCTGGGCTTTCCTGTCCTTGGCGCCACTACTGCCCCCACCATCTTCACCCCCTCCACCTTCCAGGAAGCCATCACCTGCCCTGATGCGGATAAATGGATAGCAGCGATCTTCCTGGAGTGTGAGGCTTTCATTCGCAACGACTCCTTTGTCGATGTCCCCCTCCCTGCTGGCGCTAATCTCGTTGACGGCAAATGGGTCTTTCGGGTGAAGCAGCTGCCGGGCGAGGAACCAGTGTACAAGGCCCGCTACTGCGCCAAGGGGTTCACGCAGACTTGGGCTGAGGACTACTGGTTCACCTACGCCCCCACCGCCAAACCACCCACCCTTCGCGCCGCCATGGACATTGGTGCACGTGACGACATGGAAATTGACTCCATGGACGTCTCCAATGCGTTCCTGCAGGGCGACCTGCATGAGCGCATTTTCCTCCGGCGACCCCCCGGGTTCCACGCATCCTTTCCTGAGAACACTGTCTGGCAGCTGCGTCGCCCCGTCTACGGCTTGAAGCAGGCACCGCGTGAGTGGCATGCGAAGCTGGCTGCCACCTTGGGGTCCCTCGGCTTCTCTGCTTCCCACTCCGACGCCAGCCTCTTCATCCGCTCCTCCCCCCGCCGCTTCTTCATTCTGGTATATGTCGACGACATGATCCTGCTCTCTGACACCAAGGCCGACATGGGGCAGGTGAAGCTGTCCCTGCAGCAGCGGCTCAAGTGCAAAGACCTTGGCGCCCTCACTCACTACCTCGGCATGACCATCACGCGCAACCGCCCTGCTCGCACAATCACCCTCTCCCAGTCCCATTACATCGGCCAGGTCTTGGAGAAGTTCGACATGGCGCAAGCCAAGCCTGTTTCCACCCCGCTCCCCTTCGGTCACCATCTCGCTCCACCCACCTCCCCCACCTCCTCCCCCCACCCCTATGCCGAGCTCGTTGGGTCCTTGATGTACGCAATGATGTGCACCCGCCCCGACCTCGCCTACCCCATCAGCGTGCTCGCTCGCTTTGTCGGCACCGGTCGTCACTCTGAGGAGCACTGGAAAGCTGCCAAGCGGGTCCTCCGCTACCTTCGCGGGACCAGGGACCTTGCCCTCACCCTCGGCGGCCCTTCCCGTCCCCTTCTCTCGGGCTTCAGTGACTCCTCATGGGCTGACACGCAGCCGGACCGCCGCTCCTCCCAGGGCTACGGCTTCACCCTTGGCAGCGGCCTCATCAGCTGGCGCTCCACCCGCTCCTCCGCCATCTCTCTCTCCACCTGCGAAGCCGAGCTCTACGATGGCACCATGGCCGCCCAGGAGTCGCGCTGGCTCTGCTTCCTTCTTGCGGAGCTTGGCGCCCCCCAGCCGTGCCCCACTCTCTGGTGCGACAACGCCAGCACCATCCATCTCACTCAGGACCCCGTCTATCACGCCCGCTCCAAGCACATCGAACTCCGCTACTTCTTCGTTCGCGAGCTCGTCCAGAAGGGCCTCATTGCCGTTCGCAAGATTGCAACCGAGGCCAACTTGGCCGACATCTTCACTAAGGCCCTCCTTCGCCCCGCGCACTCTGCCTTCCTCCGCCTCATTGGCCTTGCTCGCCCGGGCGCCCCTTGATTCAGGGGTTGTTCTCTAATGTGTTAGCATGCTAAGGGGTTGTGTTAAAATATATATTGTGTAGCATGCCAACACATGTGACTGTACACCAATTGTGGTGTACAGTTGGGTTGGGACTACACCCAACTTTGGGTGTAGTCTTGCACTTTGGGGTGCCAATCCACCCAATTGTGGTGGAGCCCCCAAATGCAACCCTCTTGACTTGTGGGTACCTCACTTCCCACAATTGAGGTTACCCCAAGCCAAGTGGGCCTAGGGTTGCCTCACTTCTACAAAGTGTGGGCAACCCAACCCACTTGACCTATGGTTCCCTCACTTCCCCAAGTGAGGTCAACCCAACCTATGGTCACTTTCATCCTTCCCTTCCAACCTTCCCTTCCAACTATGTATGCTAGGTTGTTCCTCTAATCTAATTACTTGTTCAATTCACAATCTTCACACCAGATGAAGCAGTGGATGCTTTCCTCAATGCGTGGTGGGCATGGCCAATGGCATCACCGTCCTCGCTCCTTCTAATGCCGCCTTCCAGGTAACCAGTGCATTCTTGTAACTATCCTTATTTCAGGTGAATAGGTGGACTTCCCATCATTCCCCAGCTTCACTCGTAACCGTCTCCCTTGCACCCCTTCCCACCACTACCCATCTATCTCTTAATTTCTCCCAGGTTCTCGGCCCATACACCATATGCCTCACCAATTACACCCGATCCGGGCCCATGCTAGCCACCCTCCTCAACCACCACAGTCTGAGTCTGAAACCCAGCCACCCTTCTCACCACCCCTTGCCACCACCCGTTCCTCCCTTAATCCCTCCAGGTCCTCGGCCCATACACCTCATGCCTCGCCAGCTACACCCGATACGGCCCCATGGTATCCATGCTCCTCAACCACCATATTCTGAGTTTGAATCCCGGTTACCAATCTCGTTCCACCCCACCCATTCCACCCCTGATTCATCCCAGGTCCTCGGCCCTTACACCTCATGCCTCGCCAATTACACCCGATCCGGGCCCATGCTAGCCACCCTTCTCACTCTCACCCACTCCCCACCACCCGTCCCTCCTGTAACCCTCCCAGGTCCTCGGCCCTTACACCTCATGCCTCGCCAATTACACCCGATCCGGGCCCATGCTAGCCACCCTTCTCACTCTCACCCACTCCCCACCACCCGTCCCTCCTGTAACCCTCCCAGGTCCTCGGCCCGTACACTTCATGCCTCGCCAACTACACCCGATCCGGCCCCATTCTAGCCACTCTTCTCAACCACCACATTCTCTACGGAAACTTCCCGGAGTCTGCGCTCTTTGACGGGCGGCGATATTTCACCCTTGCCAACACCAATGTGCTTGTTACCCGGGCGGCAACGGGGGTGACTGTGGAGGGCGCGAGGGTGGTTGAGCCGAATAAATTCGCGGGGTATAACGGCGTCGTGCATGGAATAGACCGGGTTTTGTTTCCACCAGGGATAACCCCCTCGGTGAGTGTGGTGTGGTTGTGGTGCGTTCATGGGGTGGTGGGTGCTGCTTGTGTGGGTGCAAGCATGTGGGGTGCGTGTGTGGGTGCAAGCAGAGCGGCGATACTTCACCCTTGCCAACACCAATCTGCTTGTGACCCGGGCGGCAACGGGGGTGACTGTGAAGGGCGCGAGGGTGGTTGAGCCGAATAAATTCGCGGGGCATAACGGCGTAGTGCATGGAATAGACCAGGTTTTGTTTCCGCCTGGAATAACCCACTCGGTGAGTGTGAGGCTGGTGTGGTGTGGCGTGGTGTGGTTATGGTGATGGGTGGTGATTGGTGCATGAATGGCTGATCGGAACAAAGACGTGTTCGAGCATGACGGTTCGTAGTGACTGTTGAGTCTCGTTTACACATACCCCATATGCCACTGCTTTCTCTCCCCTCTCCCCTTTCCCCCCCTCCCCTCTTCCTCTCCCTTGCGTGCAGCTGTACACCATTTGCAACCAAACTGGACAGGGTCTGGCAGTGTAGAGATGGAGGGAGGAGAGTGTTTACATCCTATCATCCTATGAAGCAGCCACCGACTGACTAGTGTGCATAAGGTTCATGATACCTAGTACAGTACTTGTCTGTAACATTTGTTGGAAACAATTGACTTAAGCGCCTCTGTCGTGTCGAAACACAGCGAAGCAGAACATATCGAAGCATCGGCGAGTCAACCCTCGGAGGTTGAGCAACTGCTGGAGGTTACGCGAAAGTCAAAGGTCAGTAACCTTTGACCTGACAAGTACAGCGCGACAGCAAGGACAAACAACTGACTCGCTATTGAGCAGTTCCCCGAGTCGTCACTGTATCGAACCGCAACAGCAACAGTAAAAACGGTTATTAACTATATCTCTTCGTATTCCTTGTACTCTTATAAAAGCCTGTATCTCTTTGTTTTAATCAATCTACTTTGCCCTCACATACCAGCGCAAGGTGGTTCACAAACTTCTCATTAAAACGCTTCCGCTATTATATTGTCCTACTCAGAATTTAGTCCTGCAAAGATCCTAAGGGCTTTTCTTAGCCCAACAACATTTGCACAAATGTGTGCTCCTTTCTGTCAATTTTTTTTACTTCGTCGGGGGAAAATAGAAAACTCTACCCAGTGTATTGACCTATTTGCCCCTGCTGCGTCTATTAAAAGTACAAGTAAGGCTTCATTTTCTACAGGATTGAAACAATGAACAAACTGGATAAACTACCACTACACCAGCTTTTTGTAATTACAGTACCTACCTACCCACTGTACACGCTACTCCTAACATGCACTTTTGTGCTCCTGCTCCTAATCTGCTTCCTGGCGTTCACCTGGCCGTTAGGTTAGCATTTTGACAAGTGCCTGCGGCCACTGGAATCGATCTGCTTGTGCTTGCCATGCTACGACTTGGGCCGTGCCAGCAAGTGAGCTGCTGCTCTTTCTCCCACATGTCATCCTCCTGCTGTGCTTCCCCTTCATTTGCGTCTCAGCTTAACCTTGAGCTCCCTGTGTCATCCACCAAATCTATTTCCCCTTCATCTGGCACCTCAGTTTTAACCTCAGCTCCATATATCATCCGCCTACTCTGCTTCCCCTTCATCTGGCGCTTGGGCTGTAACTTTCACAAGTGCTTGCTCCCATCAGGTCTCGCTAAGCTTCTGCCTGCCACACCACAACCCGAGCTGTGCCAACACGTGCGCCGATTCTCTTTCTCCCTCCTGCTCTGCTTCCGCGCCCGCCTGGTGTCGGGGCTTTAACTTTAGCTCCCTGTGTGTCATCCACCTACTCTGCGTCCCCTTCACCTGGTGCCTGGGCTTTAACTTTCACAAGTGCCTGCCCCCACCGCGACTCGCTCTGCTTGTGTCTGCCTCGCCACGACCTGAGCCGTGCCAGCACGTGCGCGGATACAATCGCTCCCCGTGGCTTGCTCCCCATCTGGAGGAGAGAGGGGAGAGGGGAGAGGGGAGAGGGGAGAGGGGAGAGGGGAGAGGGGAGAGGGGAGAGGGGAGAGGGGAGAGGGGAGAGGGGAGAGGGGAGAGGAGGAAGTCAGGAAAGAAAGGAGGGAGAAGGAGAGTCATTGCCCCCACCGCGACTTGCTCTGCTTGTGTCTGCCTCGCCACGACCTGAGCCTTGCCAGCACGTGCGCCGATACGATCGCTCCCCGTGGCTTGCTGCCCATCTGGGAGAAGGGGAGAGTGGAGAGGGGGAAAGGGCTTAGCACGTGCGCCGATACGATCGCTCCCCGTGGCTTGCTGCCCATCTGGGAGAAGGGGAGAGTGGAGAGGGGGAAAGGGCTTAGCACGTGCGCCGATACGATCGCTCCCCGTGGCTTGCTGCCCATCTGGGAGAAGGGGAGAGTGGAGAGGGGGAAAGGGCTTAGCACGTGCGCCGATACGATCGCTCCGCGTGGCTTGCTGCCCATCTGGTGGACATCGGGGAGAGGGGAGGAAGGTATGGTTTTGGAGACGTCTTACAATACAGTCTGCCTCGCCACGACCTGAGCCTTGCCAGCACGTGAGGCAAATACGATTGTTCCCTGTGGCTTGCTGCCCATCTGGAGGAGGGAAGGGCACCAGAGGAGGTGAGAGTAGAGCAGAGCAGAGGAGGTGAGGGAAGAGTGGCGCAAAGGAGGCGAGGGAAGGTGGAGCAGAGGAGGTGAGGGGAGAGGTGGAGCATCCGCCTATGTAACATATTCTTTCCATATTGCAGCGTAGCACCTATAAATAGAGAAATTGCACATGTCACGAGTGACCAAGTGTGCCGCAAGTGTGACCAAGTGCGACCAAGTTTGACCATTTGTGACCACGTGAAACCAAGTGTGACCACGTGTGACCAAGCGACCACGTGTGACCAACTGTGACCAGGTGTGACCAAGCGTAACCAAGCGTGACCACGTGTGACCACGTGCAACCAAGCGGGACCAAGCGTGACCAAGCGTGACCAAGCGTGACCAAGCGTGACCAAGCATGATCACGCGTGACCAAGCGTGACCAAGCGTGACCAAGCGTGACCAAGAGTGACCAAGAGTGACCAAGCGTGACCGGGCGTGACCGGGCGTGACCGGGCGTGACCAGGCGTGACCAGGCGTGACCAGGCGTGACCAGGCGTGAGAAGGCGTGAGCAGGCGTGAGCAGGCGTGAGCAGGCGTGAGCAGGCGTGAGCAGGCGTGAGCAGGCGTGAGCAGGCGTGAGCAGGCGTGACCAGGCGTGATCAGACGTGACCAAGCGTGATCAAGCGTGACCAAGCGTGGCCAAGCGTGACCAAGCGTGAACAAGCGTGACCAAGCGTGACCAAGCGGGACCAAGCTGGACCAAGCGTGACCACGCTTGACCAAGCGGGACCAAGCGTGACCAAGCGTGACCAACGTGACCAAGCTTGACCAAGCGTGACCAAGCGTGACCAAGCGTGACCAAGCGTGATCACGCGTGACCAAGCGTGACCAAGCGTGACCAAGTGTGACCAAGAGTGACCAAGAGTGACCAAGCATGACCAAGCGTGACCAACGTGATCGTGACCAGGCGTGACCAAGCGTGACCAAGCGTGACCAGGCGTTACCAGGCGTGACCAGTCGTGACCAGGGGTGATCAGGCGTGACCAGGCGTGACCAGGCGCGACCAGGCGTGACCAGGCGTGACCAGGCATGACCAGGCGCCACCAGGCGTGACCAAGCGTGACCAGGCGTGACCAGGCGTGACCAGGCGTGACCAGGCGTGACCAGGCGTGACCAAGCGTGACCAGGCGTGACCAGGCGTGACCAAGCGTGACCAAGCGAGACCAAGCGCGACCAAGCGCGACCAAGCGTGACCAGGCGTGACCAGGCGTGACCAGGCATGACCAGGCGTGACCAGGTATGACCACGCGTAACCAAGCGTGGCCAAGCGTAACCAAGCGTGACCAAGCGTGATCACGCGTGACCAAGAGTGACCAAGTGTGACCAAGTGACCAAGCGTGATAAAGCGTGACCAAGCGTGACCAAGCGTGACCAGGCGTGACCAGGCGTGACCAGGCGTGACTAGGGGTGATCAGGCGTGACCAGGCGTAACCAGGCGTGACCAGGCGTGACCAGGCGTGACCAGGCGTGACCAGGCGTAACCAGGCGTGACCAGGCGTGACCAAGCGTGACCAGGCGTGACCAGGCGTGACCAGGCGTGACCATGCGTGACCAGGCGAAACCAAGCGTGACCAGGCGTGATCAAGCGTGACCAAGTGTGACCAAGCGTGACCAAGCGTGACCAGGCGTGACCAGGCGTGATCAAGCGTGACCAAGCGTGACCAAGCGTGACGTGACCAAGCGTGACCAAGCGTGACCAAGCGTGACCAAGCGTGACCAAGTGTGACCAAGTGTGACCACGTGTGACAACGTAGCGTGACCAAGCGTGAGCAAGCGTGACCAAACGTGAGCAAGCGTGAGCAAGCGTGACCAAGCGTGACCAAGCGTGACCAAGCGTGACCAAGCCTGATCAAGCGTGACCAAGCGTGACCAAGCGTGACCAAGCCTGATCAAGCGTGACCAAGCGTGACCAAACGTGACCAAGCGTGACCAAGCGTGACCAAGAGTGACCAAGCGTGACCAAGCGTGACCAACGTGACCAAGCACGACCAAGTGTGACCAAGCGTGACCAAGCGTGACCAAGCGTGACCAAGCGTGATCAAGCGTGACCAGGGGTGACCAGGGGTGACCAGGCGTGACCAGGCGTGACCAGGCGTGACCAGGCGTGACCAGGCGTGACCGGGCGTGACCAGGCGTGACCGGGCGTGACCGGGCGTGAGCAGGCGTGACCAGGCGTGACCAGGCGTGAGCAGGCGTGAGCAGGCGTGACCAGGCGTGACCAGGCGTGACCAGGCATGACCAGGCGTGACCAGGCGTGATCAGGCGTGACCAAGCGTAATCAAGCGTGACCAAGCGTGACCAAGCACGGCCAAGCGTGATCAAGCGTGACCAGGGGTGAGCAGGCGTGACCAGGCGTGACCAGGCGTGACCAGGCGTGACCGGGCGTGACCGGGCGTGACCGGGCGTGACCGGGCGTGACCAGGCGTGACCAGGCGTGAGCAGGCGTGAGCAGGCGTGAGCAGGCGTGAGCAGGCGTGAGCAGGCGTGACCAGGCGTGACCAGGCGTGATCAGGCGTGACCAAGCGTGACCAAGCGTGACCAAGTGTGGCCAAGCGTGACCAAGCGTGACCAAGCGTGACCAAGCGGGACCAAGCTGGACCAAGCGTGACCACGCTTGACCAAGCGGGACCAAGCGTGACCAAGCGTGACCAACATGACCAAGCTTGACCAAGCGTGACCAAGCGTGACCAAGCGTGATCACGCGTGACCAAGCGTGACCAAGCGTGACCAAACATGACCAAGAGTGACCAAGAGTGACCAAGCGTGACCAACGTGATCGTGACCAGGCGTGACCAAGCGTGACCAAGCGTGACCAGGCGTTACCAGGCGTGACCAGTTGTGACCAGGGGTGATCAGGCGTGACCAGGCGTGACCAGGCGCGACCAAGCGTGACCAGGCGTGACCACGCGTGACCACGCGCGACCAGGCGTGACCAGGCGTGACCAGGCGTGACCAGGCGTGACCAGGCGTGACCAGGCGTGACCAAGCGTGACCAGGCGTGACCAAGCGCGACCAAGGGTGACCAAGCGAGACCAAGCGCGACCAAGCGCGACCAAGCGTGACCACGCGTGACCAGGCGTGACCAGGCATGACCAGGCGTGACCAGGCGTGACCACGCGTAACCAAGCGTGGCCAAGCGTAACCATGCGTGACCAAGCGTGACCAAGCGTGATCACGCGTGACCAAGAGTGACCAGGCGTGACCTACGTGACCAAGCGTGACAAAGCGTGACCAAGCGTGACCAAGCGTGACCAGGCGTGACCAGGCGTGACCAGGCGTGACTAGGGGTGATCAGGCGTGACCAGGCGTGACCACGCGTGACCACGCGTGACCAGGCGTGACCAGGCGTGACCAGGCGTGACCAGGCGTGACCAGGCGTGACCACGCGTGACCACGCGTGACCAGGCGTGACCAGGCGTGACCAGGCGTGACCAGGCGTGACCAGGCGTGACCAAGCGTGACCAGGCGTGACCAGGCGTGACCAGGCGTGACCATGCGTGACCAGGCAAAACCAAGCGTGACCAGGCGTGACCAAGCGAGACCAAGCGTGACCAAGCGTGACCAAGCGTGACCAGGCGTGACCAGGCGTGATCAAGCGTGACCAAGCGTGACCAAGCGTGACGTGACTAAGCGTGACCAAGCGTGACCAAGCGTGACCAAGCGTGACCAAGCGTGACCAAGTGTGACCAAGTGTGACCACGTGTGACCAAGCGTGACCACGTGTGACCAAGCGTGACCAAGCGTAACCAAGAGTGATCAAGCGTGACCAACGTGACCAAGAGTGACAAAGCGTGACCAAACGTGACCAAGCGTGACCAGGCGTGACCAGGCGTGACCAGGCGAGACTAGGGGTGATCAGGCGTGACCAGGCGTGACCACGCGTGACCACGCGTGACCAGGCGTGACCAGGCGTGACCAGGCGTGACCATGCCTGACCAGGCGAAACAAGGCGTGACCAGGCGTGACCAAGCGTGACCAAGCGTGACCAAGCGTGACCAAGCGTGACCAAGCGTGACCAGGCGTGACCAGGCGTGACCAAGAGTGACCAAGCGTGACCAACGTGACCAAGCGTGACAAAGCGTGACCAAGCGTGACCAAGCGTGACCAGGCGTGACCAGGTGTGACCAGGCGTGACCAGGGGTGATCAGGCGTGACCAGGCGTGACTAGGCGTGACCAGGCGTGACCAGGCGTGACCAGGCGTGACCAGGCGTGACCAGGCGTGACCAGGCGTGACCAGGCGTGACCAGGCGTGACCAGGCGTGACCAGGCGTGACCAGGCGTGACCAGGCGTGACCAGGCGAAACCACGCGTGACCAGGCGTGACCAAGCGTGACCAAGCGTGACCAAGCGCGACCAAGCGTGACCAGGCGTGACCAGGCGTGACCAAACGTGACCAAGCGTGACCAAGCGTGACGTGACCAAGCGTGACCAAGCGTGACGAAGCGTGACCAAGCGTGACCAAGTGTGACCAAGTGTGACCACGTGTGACAATGTAGCGTGACCAAGCGTGAGCAAGCGTGACCAAACGTGACCAAGCGTGACCAAGCGTGACCAAGCGTGACCAAGCGTGACCAAGCGTGACCAAGCATGACCAAGCGTGACCAAGCGTGACCACGTGTGACCAAGCGTGACCAAGCGGGACCAAGCGTAACCAAGCGTGATCAAGTGTGACCAAGTGTGACCAAGTGTGACCAAGCGGGACCAAATGTGACCAAGTGTGATCAGGTGTGACCAAGTGTGACCAAGTATGACCAAGCGTAACCAAACGTGACCAAGTGTGACCAAGTGTGACCATGTGTGATCAAGTGTGTGTTAGATATATGCTATCAACACTTTTGTGTACTCTACTTTATATGATTTAGGTTATTTGCGGGTTGAGTGTAGATTTGTAATCCCAACCCTATCCAGTTGGGTTTCCCCCGTAATCCAACAAATCTGCCAACTCACCATTGAAGATTTGCTTGGATTCCCATCCCATCCTTTTCCTAGCTTTGCTCAACCAAACCTTGTTTGTACTTAAGGCCTAGTGCCTTATATTCTAATCAATCAGTTCAAGCTCCATTTCTATCAGCTCCTCCTACGAAGCACTT